ATTCTTGTCTTGAAAATCAATTTCTTGTCTTGTCTTGAAATTCAAGACAAGAAATTTTCAAAGACTTGTCTTGCAGATTTCTTGAATGGCAAAGTCTTGTCTTGTCTTGCAAGACTCTTGAAATTTCTTGTCTTGAAAAATTTTATATTCTAACAAAAAGGTTATAATATTTCTATATTTTATTTCATAGAAAGCGTCGTATACAAAATTTAATACGGAAAAATGAACAAAAACGATGCTAATTTTAGCAAAAAAAATCTTAACGGACCGCAGACGAACTACGTCAACTTATTCAACAATTACCAAATAAAAGCTGAATAAGAATAAGTAAGCTTAAGTTCATTTTTTAGTTCTAGTTGTTAATTCTTGTTAGTTTATTATGTTCTATTTTGGTTACCTGTTGGTTACTTTTATTTTTTATGGTATTTATTTTATTTTTTTATTATGGAAGATTGGAAAAGTTTGGACACAGGGTGTACGGAAAGGTCACGCTAGAGTGTATTATTAGCGCTATTTGATTCTACTTTTTGTTCGCGGAGCAATTTCGTGCATGAAAAGTAGTACCAAATAGCGCAAATAGCGTGCTCCACGAACCCAGCATTAGTTTCAACTACCGTTAGTTTTTTTTTATAATACCATTATACCAATATAATTTTGTGTATAATACCAATTACCAATAATATACGGTTTGTTGCATCAACTTTATTTATTTCATTCTCAACTCTAAAACACTGGCTAGGATAGAAAAAAAATGAACACTGGCCAATATTAATCCCGGGTTTATAAAACATTTGCATAAGTCGTAATCATAATCACAGTCGTAATCATCGTCATAATCACAACTCAATTTTAATATGCGTTTATAGAACATTTTCATAATCATAATTTTTATATCAGTGAAGTTGGGTCACATAATTAAAGGCTAAGTTCATGGTAGATGTCAACAGGTTTATAGGAAGTGGACAGTTTAACTTTTATGATTATGACTATGATTGTGATTACGACTATGTAAATGTTGTATAAACCCGGCATAACTTGCGCAAAGACCTAATTATCACTTAAAAAATGTATCATTTCTAACTTTCAAGAAATCTTGAATTCAAGAAATCTTGCAAGACTCTTGAAATTTCTTGCATATTAAAGTCTTGTCTTGTCTGAATTTCTTGCAAGAGTGTTGGTCTTGCAAGACTTTTTCAAGAATCTTGTGCAACACTACTTTTAAGCCAGGAAAAGACACTAAAAACATTAGACGATCAAATCTATTTTTCCAAGGATCCTTGATTAAAAATTAGTGTTTTTAACACAGCCATGGCACTCTAAATTGAAATTTAAAATAGAATTTGTTTTTGAGTGACTGTGTCAAAAATTGACATATGATATGTCATTCGAGTCAGAGTGTCATTTTTTATCGAATAAAATAAAAAAAATACCGAGGATGCCATTTAAAAATCAAAAGTTGTAGTCATTTCCGGTAAAACCGGAAGTGACCGAATACACTTGAATACGCTAATCAATCCCAATTTATGTCATATACTAACATACCGAATCTCGTTGTTTTATCTGAAAAAATAAAAAAGTTATAAGGGTGAGCCACTTTGGAGACGCACCCGGTATAGGCCAGTAAGCGAGGGTTTTAAGGTTCGAATTCTGAACACCTGCACCGATTGAATTTTGAACACTTGCACCGATGTAAGAAACAAAAGTTACATAGTAGCGGTTTAGAATGCTTAAATTTAGAAAAAAGTTGAAAATAATGAAAAAAACAATATTTTTATTTTTTAAAAAATTTTAATTTTTTTGACATATCTCAAAAACTAAGCAAGATACGTAAAAAATGCAACAGAGGGAAATTGAAGGTCTTTTTTTGCACTATTTTTGCTCCCTTTCAATTTTTCTGTAGATCTCTTTATTTCGTAGATATCACGTTTTTTTTTTAGTTTGACTTGCATGTAAGGACCACCTTCTTTGAGCCCTTAAAACCCAAAAATCTTGTGAAAATGAACAATGAAAAAAATGAAAAAAAAAAAATCTTAAGAAAATTAATTTTATTTTTCAGAAACTATTTGAGACAGAGCTAACCAAAAATGCTTTTTATATCTACTAGTGGGTAAATAAATTTGTAGATATATTACGACTTTTCTTGGAACTTTAGTTTCGGAGATATAAATTTAATCAGACCTTTTTAAGAAAATTAATTTTATTTTTCAGAAACTATTTGAGACAGAGTTTACAAAAAATGCTTTTTATATTTACTAGTGGGTAAATGAATTTGTACATATATTACGACTTTTCTTGGAACTTTAGTTTCGGAGACATAAATTTAATCGGACCTTTTTAAGAAAATTAATTTTATTTTTCAGAAACTATTTGAGACAGAGCTAACCAAAAATGCTTTTTATATCTACTAGTGGGTAAATGAATTTGTAGATATATTACGACTTTTCTTGGAACTTTAGTTTCGGAGACATAAATTTAATCGGACCTTTTTAAGAAAATTAATTTTATTTTTCAGAAACTATTTGAGACAGAACTAACCAAAAATGCTTTTTATATCTACTAGTGGGTAAATGAATTTGTAGATATATTACGACTTTTCTTGGAACTTTAGTTTCGGAGATATAAATTTAATCGGACCTTTTTAAGAAAATTAATTTTATTTTTCAGAAACTATTTGAGACAGAGTTTACCAAAAATGCTTTTTATATCTACTAGTGGGTAAATGAATTTGTAGATATATTACGACTTTTCTTGGAACTTTAGTTTCGGAGATATTCATTTAATCGGACCTTTTCAAAAAAAATAATTTTATTTTTCAGAAACTATTTGACACAGAGTTAACCAAAAATGCTTTTTATATCTACTAGTGGGTAAATGAATTTGTAGATATATAACGACTTTTCTTGGAACTTTAGTTTCGGAGATATAAATTTAATCGGACCTTTTTAAGAAAATTAATTTTATTTTTCAGAAACCATTTGAGACAGAATTTACTAAAAATGCTTTTTATATCTATTAGTGGGTAAATGAATTTGTAGATATATTACGACTTTTCTTGGAACTTTAGTTTCGGAGATATAAATTTAATCGGACCTTTTTAAGAAAATTAATTTTATTTTTCAGAAACTATTTGAGACAGAGTTTACCAAAAATGCTTTTTATATCTACTAGTGGGTAAATGAATTTTTAGATATATTACGACTTCTTGGAACTTTAGTTTCGGAGATATAAATTTAATCGGACATTTTTAAGAAAATAAGAGTTCAAGATTAATAATGTATAACTTTTGTTTCTTATATATATCTCTATTCACTGTTAAAATTTCACGTCAATCGGTGCGGGTGTCAAGAATTCGGAGGTAATACCCTATTTTTATCCTCGCTTACTAGCTAATTATATTTTTACCCCTTTTATATAAAATCAGAACGGCACTAATGAACCGGAAAAGGGATCTCTTTAACAACAGACTATAAACAATTTCACTAAGAACGCTATGATCATATTTTTCTACACCTTGATATTTGAATCTATGGAACTGAACACGTAAACAAGTCCTGTTGTTATCGAATAACCCAGATTCTTCTACTAGGTACAATTTCACTAACTCATATAGTAATTGGGACATCACAAATCTGTTTTATTCCACATCGAATAGATATACGTATCCCTGTCTTTAAGCGGCATATCTCACATCAAGCTCTTAATATACCGTTGCGTTGCCTTTGGTATATGAAAAAAAAACGAACCAACAAATCCTTAGATGTTATCTGGCGATATTTAGGCCCGGCCAAACGCTGATAGATTGTTATTCGGTATGCCTGTGAGCTGTCAATAAGTATACACGATATCATACCTAATTATAAATGGGAGGAAACCGCGTATCCAACGATATAACAGGGAAAAAAATATGATAGCGCAATTTGTTCGGCTTATAACACCTGGCTATAGATATTAGAAACTATAGATATAGATTAGATTTATAGTCCTAAATGTGTACAGGGTGTCCCATTTTGGTTGAAATCATTATTTAGTTTTCTAAAATATAGCATATACTTTTTCTTTGTTTTTTTTTGTAATGGAACACCCTGTATATTATTTTTTTATTAGGGAGAATTAAAAAATAAATATTTTTTGTAATTAAAGTATTTCAAAATTTTTAATGGTTTTGCAGATACTCGCAGTGTTATTTCATATGGCTCATCAACAGTAAAATACGAGAGAAAAATCAATGGGTGGCTTTGATAAAAATTTACTGTGAAAATCGCGAATATCTGCAAACCCGTTAAAAATTTTGAAATACTCCAAATACAAATAATGTTAATTTTTTAATTCTCCATCTATTGAAAAAATAATATAGAGAGTGTTCCATTTAAAAAAAAAACGAATAAAAATTATTTTATATTTTAGAAAGTTTGGCGTTGAATTTTGAATATCCTGTATGATTTACGATTACCATATTTATAACAAAGTAAGTACAGGATGTTCCATTTTAGTTGAAATCATACGGTATCTCCGTTATTAGTAAAGATAGGAGGATGCGGTTTGCACAAACCTGTCCCACTTTTTTGTCAAACGGAAGATGCTGCCAACAAAAGTTTGGCAGCTCTCTTCGTTTTTGAGCTATAGGGTGTTTTTGAACATTTTGCAATTTGAGACCACCCCCGTATCTTCGTTATTGTGAAAGGTATTGAGAAGGTGAAAACTGATTCTTGTAGAACTTTTTACGTAGAATACAGTGGTGTAGTCTGTTTTTCTACGAAAAAAATATTTCTGAAAATGTAAACTAAAGTTATGTTTTTTCAAATGGAACACCCTGTATATTTATAAATCATATGATCCGTAATTGCTATGAGCTTCTCAAAAATATATAACAGTCTATCTAGTTGAATAAATAGAATAGTTGAATTTCGTTAACTTTGTATCAGAAAAATGACAGATTTTAGAGAAATATGTATCAACTCTACATTCATTACTAAACAGAATTAAAAACAAATTTACTGATATTGATAAAATAAATATATTCACAAATAAATGAAAACAATCTGTCTATTCGTGTACAATAGCAAATTGAAACAGATAAGCAGCAACGACTTTCGTGCCTTCGTAATAGTTTCTGATCGATATGTTCTCGTTTGCCTCGCCTGAGTTGGAGCCCTTGCAACTCAGAGGCATCATCAGGATACTCTTTTCTAAAACTCGGTCTAATATGGTTACAACCTCTCGTGCTCTAGCTTCTCTAATCAAGCTAGGATCTTCTTTGTACACCTTAAAATAGCGTTTAAGTTAAATGCACAGTTAATATTTTGCAATTATTTAATTGTAAAGAAATAAAAAAATATGTTTATGGTGTTAAATGCAGATCTATAAGTAAACTACAAAAAAGTTTCGCATTGGTTATAGTCTGTCCAAAGAAAGGGTCAGTGGCAGTGACAGTTTTGTGTCTATCATTTTTATTCACCGGTAAATTTTATTTTCTATCATTTTTCGGGTATCGTCAGTCGTTGGATGGACTATACAGGGTGTCCCAGAAATAAGTACAAGTGTTTTAACTTGTAATATATTTCGGTCTCAGAAACACATCTATGAGATATTTTTTGCGATTTTTTTTGAAAATTTGGAATTTTTTGAAAACATTTTTGGATTTCTTTTAGTTTTAAGTTAAAAAACATAATTTCTTGATAATATGGCAACATAGGTAGTAGATTAAATTTACATGAAAGACAAGCCAGAAAAGATCCAGTGGTTCTCAAAATTTAAGCAAAAAAATCATTTTTTTTTTAAATTTTCAAAGTAAAATAACTCGGTTATTTTGGACTTATTTGAAAAACGGTAAAGAGAAAAAATGTTTCTTTTGACCAGATCTGTCACCTTTTAAAACACTTGCACTTATTTCTTGGACACCCTGTATACAGGGTGAGTCTTAAATAAGTGCAAATATTTTCGAAGCTGGTACATCTCGATAAAAGAAACATATTCGTTTTTCAAATAAGTTCAAAATAACAGTTATTTTTTTTTGAAAATTTGTAAAAAAAATTTTTTTGCTTAAATTTTGAGAACCACTGGATCTTTTCTGGCTTTTCTTTCTTGTAAATTTAATTTACTACCTATGTTGCCATATTATCAAGAAATTATGTCTTAACTAAAAACTAAAAAAAATCCAAAATATCGATTATTTTTTCGCGAAGAAAAACTTATAATCGTGTTTCTGGGGTCGAAATATACCACACCTAAAAATATTTGCACTTATTTAAGACTCACCCTGTATAGACTTTAGCGCCTTTTGGTTTAATCCCATTAATAAAATCAAATATAAAGTCTGTTCGGGAAGAGAAAGGTGGACCAAACTAAAGAAATTATAAGTCACGGACTTAGAGGTATGTAGTTCGTGAACGAACTAGTTCCAATGATCTATTCCGACCCCGGAACGAAAGGAACTAGTTCCACCTTTCTTAAAATACTAGTTCCTCAGGAACTATTCCGAAGACCGAGACTGTGACCGAGATATAATAATATGGCGACGAATCTGCCAGCCCGTCGACCGATGCTAGGCGAGAGTGAGGAGTAAGGAGTGCCAGCGGTATGTTGCCCCTCCTGGACCAAAACGACCGAGAGGAACTAGGGAAACTAAAAAAGGACTGACCACACCAAACAGTGCCGTGGCACATATTTTTCTTAACATAGCCGCTTGAAAGGATATTTATATTTTTGATAAATTATGTTTTGACTACGTCTATGGTGTATGCGGTGGTATCATACTAATTAAATTACGAAAAAAGCGTATTAAAATGTTAACAAAAGGTGCAAAACTAGTAGGAAACGTATGGCACCTACCAAGTACATATAATAACCGAAAAATAATTATCGAATTCAACAAAAAAAAACGCTAAAAAGGTGGAGTGGACTGTTTATTTCCCTATGAAACGTAACTCCTGGCTCTTTCTTATCATTGCGCCTTTTACACTTGAAAGCTGAACAAATTACCATTGTAATAAAGTTTATACAAAGTTCACTACCAAACCAAACAAACTATTAAAAATCGCTCGGACGAGAAGAAGATCATGTAATGATAGAAAATGTAAATAACAAAGTACTATGGACAAATATATTTAACAAAACAAGACTTCATTCTACCTGCATATAAGCCCTTTTGGCTGCATTAAAACAAGGCGACTGGAAGCTCTCGAACCAAGGTCTCTTTCCCGATATCAACTCGCATTTCACGTCGTTTTCGATGTTCAAGTCTTCGACGACGTTTTTAACGTGATTCTTCGTAATTTCCTCAACGGTATCGATCACCTGCCTCGGAACTATCTTTATGGTGAAGAGTTTCTTGATTTTGGAGAAGTCCTTCTTGTCGCAGACGCACTCCAGGGTCTCGTGCACGTGTAGAGATGGCAAACGCCAGAAACTCATCAGGAGTTTCACTTTGTCCCAGGATTTCTTGAAATCGGGCAAGGAATCTCTGTAACAGATCCGCGTGTTTATGATTTATACTACGTAATTTTAGTTTTCTTTAAATATTTAGGTAAAGAAATTAGAAATACAGTACCTATTAAAATATTACCTAAGTATTGTATTGTTATTAATCTAGAAGACTAAAGAAGGAGTCTAAAGTATATTAATACCATACGATCGAAAAAGAAACGGGGTCAAAGATGGCTGGGAATGACTATATCGATGATAATTTTGGCGATGTCAAGCCCTAGACGTCGTTTACTTGGCCTATTCTTTGTTTATGTGCTCCGTTCTTAAGGGTCTATTAGGCTGTACTGTTCGGGTCGCTCTCAGGAGTCGGATAAAGCGGGTGTTATACCGAAGGAAATATTTATATTTCATAAATCTGCCTAAAGCTTAGCCCGATCCTGTCATGTTAAGCCACACCCAAAATTCCAAGCACCCGTGCTTTGATTAAGGCTTGCAGAGCTTCAGCATTTGCCATAAAATAGCGTGCAATTTGTTACAAAACCATATAAATTATATATCACTGTAATCACAAAACTTCAATCTTCGTCGGTTGTAACGGAATTTTAAATTATTTCTTTACTTTCGATAAAATTTAGTCTAAACATAAGGTGTATTTTGTTAATGTTTGACCATCAAAATCTTAAAAATAAAGAAGTTATCTAAAAATGTGCTTCAATACGGATATAGTATCATCCTTTATCTTTAATTTCCTTCTTCATTTGTGTAAAAATGCCTAGCCACTTTTACATAAAACGTTAAATGCCGAACCCTTATTTTGCTACTTTTTCGGACTAGTGAAATGGACTCTTAATATTTTTATTCAAAGTATCTAATGTTTATACTCACCTAATTTCATCCGGATCAAAGTCCTTAATGTTTTCGTATATCCTTTCTTCGTCAGGAGTTATTTGTTCTACGTACTCGCCGAAATTATTGATTAAAATTTGTTCTTTGTCGTCGACCAGATTGTTAATGATGTTTTCCATATCTTCCTTAATTTCAGTTTGGGAATTTTCCCGTTTCGTTATAGCCAACTCGAAATGCAAAATGCCTCAAAAATATCGTTATTTGAAAAAAATAATATATAAAGAGGGTAAAATTGCTCTTAAAATTCATATTGTAACGTTTTTTACATATTTCAGATGAAGTAAGTACAAAAAGTTGAAAAATACGAAAATAGAACGGGTATATACTCAGGATATCGACAATTATTGAAAACTTTTCATTTAAAATATCTCAAAAATTATTTATTTTAGAAACACAGTTTAAATGGGTCAATTGTAGGGCCCCACAAGCTCTATCCACACAGGGGTCCGTTCAACCGTCATTTTGCGGTTTATTTTCGAGATACATATTTAGGTTTTTTAGATTTTGCAAATTTTTTATTTTGGATCGATTTCTACAACACTCTGTACAATATTTAGAAGTAACCAACCATACATAATTAATTACAAGCAAATGAAGGATATGGGAAATATTTAAAGATTGAAGAAATGGTAAAAACATAAAAAAAACCGGATGTACCATTCAGAAGAATATTTCAAAAAGGGACCAGGTCATCAAAGCGGTGAAACAGAAAAATTATTATCTTTCTCTTTTCTTTATGGTAAATACCCAACGGGGGTAGTTAAATAAAATAAGGGAATACACGGGGTACATTTGGTGGGTACATTTACAAGGGGTACATTTAGATGAAGACCCAGGGTGTATAAAAATATAATATACAGGTTATACCTAGAGGTTATATCATTCAAAAAAAACATAAGTTTGAGCACAGGTTTCAGTTATATTTCAAGAATGACAAATCCCAGCGAAAAACTAATTGCGCCACTGTATTCTACTAGATCATACCAAATAAACTTTTACTAACGTGATTAAGCTTGACCGGTACAACGTTGCCCACTTTTACAAATTTTCTTTTAATCAAAATATTTTACGAAACAAAAATAAATTAAGTATAATTATATAAACAGTTATTATTTACATCAACAAAACTCACCCTCTTAACAACACTTAAAAGACATAAAGGGACATTACTACCGCTTTCCCCTTCAAAATATTCTAATAAAGTTGCGATAAGTCTTTTGCAACAGCTATTAAGCTATTTTAATAGTCTGCTAGTAAAAACTTAAGCTTAAAGTATCATAACACAACTCATTGAAACCTAAAACTCGAAATACAAAACTAAAGTGTCAAAATATTCTAAATATATTAATTATTTTAAAGCAAAATATTGAAGTACTCTAAAAAGAATGCTTGCAAAAGGTGATGCTGGGAAGTGCTGTTCTTATAAATGCATTATTCGAGTATTTAATACGATTTATACAGTTAATTTTCTATACTGCATACATATAAGGTGTTTAAATAAATAAACTAAATAATGAACGTTTTGCATTCGGCAACCAATAATGCACGTGTGTGTATTATTGGTTGCCGGATAAGGACTAATAACCATGACAAGGACTACAATGACGTCACAAAGCGAGTAGTTTTCGCATGCACCTGGCGGACACTTTTGGCTGAATGAGCAGTCCTATCAGGTTAACTGTTCTTGCCCCATACAAAGGAAAATTATTCATAATATCAATACATAGTTTATTAACGTAGTTTTCATGTAGTTAATGAACGGGAAAAGACGTAGTTTTTGAAGAAAAACTACACGTAGTTAATCAGGTAAATTACGTCTTAATTAACTACTTCCGAACTCTGCCTAGCTGTTTGAAGCAATATTTATATTTTTTGATAATTGTTTTGAGTACGCCTATGGTATATCATCCTAATTATTAACGAAAAAAACGTATTAAAATGTTAACAAAAGGTACAAAACTAGTATCGACAGATAGCACATATCAAATACATATAGATGTTAATTGAAATTGAAGAATAATTATCGGAATTCAATAAGAAAACGCTAAAAAGTTGGAGTGGACTGTTTATTTACCTATGAAACGTAACTCCTGGCTCTTTCTTATCGCTGCTGCTTTTACACTTGAAAGCTGATCAACTAATCACCATTATAATAAAGTTTATACAAAGTTTACTACACACAAACTATTAAAAATCGCTAAAATTGTAGCTGGTGACCAAATGATGACTCATTGTTTGCCACCAAAAGAAAGGTCTCTTAGGTCACAAATTCTGCTGCAGCCCGTATAGGGGCGTTACATGTCCTTATATTCTTTAGTCATTGGTATGGCGGCTATTAAGCCCTCCATAGTCATTGGTCAAAATAAATGACAATGTCAGAAAATAAATATGGCAACTTGACACTTTTTACAGCAGAGCTACCACGGGAAATTTAAATTCCAGTTTATCGGCCCGAATATGTCCATCATGGTTGGCAACAATGAATTTAAAAATTGCGCCCTCCATTTGGCCCTTGATTACGTAACTAAAAGCACAGAATATCTAGCTACGCAACAGAAGCCTCGTTACATGTATAAAATCGTAAGTCTCAAAAGGAGATAGGCTTTAAAAGCCTGTCTCCAAATCAGATATTTTGATGTGGTAGTTTCACTACTACATAACAGAGGGCGATAAATTTAAAAGAAAACAGTTTTCTACAAACGAAATTTAAAAGAATTTTATGCAGTGTTGCCATTGTGTAATTTATATTGTAATATTTCCTGATAAAGCCTAGCTTCAAATTTGCTACATCATTTAAACATATTAAAAAACATTAGAGATCTTTTTTCAAACGTTTAAGTATTTAACTTGCCATGTTAGTTGGAGTTAAATCTTACGAGCTGAATTAAAATCACTTCCTGACGTTTGATTCTAACTGAATCCTGAATTTTGATTGTAATTCGGCGACAATATAATAAGTATTGTTCTACTATTATGACACCACTTCCTGACGTTCGATTGTGTTCATACCGTATGATCGGGAAAAAACGGCGTTAGCGATGGCTATGAAATGAAAATCGCTGTCATTTTATGTGTAAATTTATATGGGAAATGTCATCGATCGTCTTTTCCCAGCTAACTGGACGCCGTTTTTTTCGGTATTATACGGTATTTGTATCATTTCGGTATCAAAAATATTATGGTACCATGAAGCATATCAAGGGGTACCATAATGTAGTACCATATGACGATACCATTTCCTGGCGTTCGATTGAGCTTAAACTTTGTATACTACGTATTTTCGGTAATATCGTAATATGATGGCACGATGGAGCATATAAATTGGTATTTGCGTATTTTTCATGACATTGCAATATTATGGTACCATGAAGCATATCAAGTGATACCGTAATATAGTACCATATTATGATACATGGCATTCGACTGGGCTTAAACTTGATATATTACGTATCTGCAGTGACATTGTAATATTATGGTACCATGAAGCATATCAAGAGGTACCATAATAGTACATAGAGGTACCATATACGATAGAGGTACCATATACAATACCATTTCCTGGCGTGCGATTGGACTTATACTTGGTATAGTAAGTATCTTCGGTGACATTGTAATGTGATTGTACTATGATGCATATAAAGTGGTACCTTAATATAGTACCATATTACGATACCACTTTCTGACGTTCGATTGGGCTCATATTTGATTATACTTGCATATTTTTGATGACATTACAATATTATGGTACCATGAAGCATATCAAGGGGTACCATAATGTAGTACCATATGAGGATACCATTTCCTGGCGTTCGATTGAGCTTAAACTTTGTATACTACGTATTTTCGGTAATATCGTAATATGATGGCACGATGGAGCATATAAATTGGTACCTTCTATAGTACCATATTATGATACCACTTCCTGACGTTCATTTGGGCTCATATTTGATATATCCTTGCATATTTTTGATGACATTGCAATATTATGGTACCATGAAGCATATCAAGAGGTACCATAATAGTACCATATACGATACCATTTCCTGGCGTTCGATTGGGCTTAACTTGGTATAGTAAGTATCTTCGGTGACATTGTAATATGATGGTACTATGATGCATCTACTATGATGCATATATAAAGTGGTACCTTAATATAGTACCATATTACGATACCACTTCCTGACGTTCGATTGGGCTCATATTTGATTATACTTGCGTATTTTTGATGACATTGCAATATTATGGTACCATGAAGCATATCAAGGGGTACCATAATGTAGTACCATATTACGATACAATTTCCTGGCGTTCGATTGGGCCCAAATTTGATATAGTTGTGTTTCTTTATAAAGATTTGTATAATTAATAGTTTTAATTTATTTTATGAATTTTAATTTATTGTACGGTGTCGGTGACAGCAACTTTTATGCCGAACTAATATATTATTAATTGTACCTGTGTCACTTTTTAAAATCTACCTAGGTCTATATAAATAACGTGGCAAACAGAAAAAAATTGTTATTATATTATTTTTTTAGTCAATTAACATTTTTTGTACTGCAAAATAAATCATTTCCATTATTATTAAACGTATATTTCATTACTAACGTTTCAGCATTAATAAATATCACTATCAATCGTCCTGTATATTATTAATTTTAAAGGTAGTTAAAGTTATTTTCTTAGTTAACATAATAAAGTAGTGTATGTTAAAAATGTATTTTGAGAGCATATGCTTTCTAATAATATACATAAAATTAAAACTATTTTAAAAACCAAACGAATAATTAATATAAGTGTATCTGACGAGAAACGAAGAATAGAAAGAAATTTCCAATTATATTCTGATTATGATATTGTCGCGCCATCTAATATTTCATTTGTGCAATTTTAGCTCTTTCATTTCGAGTATTTATCTGTTGCGTAGCTAGATATTCTGTGCTAAAAGTTTAATTGGTATCGCTTATACGTGAATAACTCTGAAGGGCATAACCAAGAAACGAAGAGGGTTGAAAACTCCCACACTCCCTTATTTGCAGCATATTTGCTTATATTTTCTTACCGACGCATCCGTATATCAAACATGGACGCTTCTCACCGAGCCACTCCGATTCGCAGACCACCACGTTGTCCACTCCGCTGAAAAAGTCTTGCATCCTGGTGGGAAGAAAAGAGGCAAGCCCTAGACTGTCTTCGTGGTTCATAAATTCGATGATGAATTTCACGTTCACCGGGAACTCAATGTTGGACCCTTGAATAGCTTGAATCACGTGAAACCACATCATCAGCGGTCCTAAAAACAAAGAAAAACTGTAACCTGTAACTGCGACTGTAACCTGCGATTGCGATTTATTTATTATTTTTAATATTTAAATATTTTACTATAGGTGGCGCCCCCTACAAATAAGAGTCATATTGTCATCAAAATCAAATTTTTCATGTGAAAAAACCGCCAGATACCAATTTTCATCCAAATATTGACGTTACTTCAGAAATTGTTTGGAAAAAATCGAAATAAAAATGAAACTTCTACACCCTGTATCTCCGAAACTAAGTATTTTAGGACATACATTCATACGAACTTTTTTACTTATTTTTATCTGCAGAATATGCTGCCGAAGTTTCCGCAATACAGTTCGGAACACCCTGTATAAAAAATGACTTTATATATGCGTTCTAGAAGGCGTTAGGAGTACAAATATACCAAAATTTTCCTGCCGAAATGCGTAATTTTCATTTTTCGGACTTTAGTATAGCCGAAATCCATGGTACAAAGAATACAAGGTATGATCGATAGCGGCTCCAATTTCGTTCAGTTCGCGCCAATGACTAAAGAATATAAGGACATGTAACGCCCCTGTACGGGCTGTAGTAGAATTTGTGACGTTAGACGCCATTCGTTTGATGCCAAACAGTGAGTCATCATCCAGTCACCAGCGACAATTTTAGCGATTTTTAATAGTTTGTTGTGTGTAGTGAACTTTGTATAAACTTTGTTACAAAGATATATTGTTCTGAAACCACACTCTCTTCAAAAATGTAAGAATTATTCCACAGCGACAAGAAAGAACCTGGGTTAACATAGTACAGGTAAATCGGGTACACTCAACCTTTTATCGTTTTTGTATTGAATTTCGATGTGTATTCTTCAATAATTAACATTTATATGTACTTGATATGTGCTATACGTCGATAATCGTTTTGTACCGTTTGTTAACATTTTAATGCATTTCTTAATTAATTAGAGGATGATACACCATAGGTGTATGTCGTAAACAATTATCTGCAAATATGTAAACTTAGGGCATAACAAACAGCTAGGTTAAGAAAAATATCTGCTAATGGCACTGTTTGATCCAGCGTATGAAATTTGGTGTCGGGTGTTATTTGTCCATAATTCTTTGAGTCATTATCTGTACAATAGCAACTTAATCAGCGGAGAACAATGCTCACTTGTTACTAACGAGCGAGTCGATGCCGAGACGTCATTCTGCTGGGTAGTAAATTTCGCATGCAATTTAGGAAAATGAGGAATAATTAAAGAAAAATAAAGAAAGTTACAGAAAATCTGCATTTTTGGGGGTTATGTAAATTTACAGAAAATGTGTTTATTTTAAGACTTTTTGTAGTTCGTTTAAATTTAATAATTACTAAAACCAAGTTCCAAAAAATATATTTAAAAAGAATAATTATCTAATAACATGGATTTGGAAATTTGGGCCATAATAGGGTAAATTTTACTAAATTTATATTTCATTGTACCTATGGCAAATTGTTTATTACGCTTTTAGTTTGCGATGTTTATCGGAAATAATTTTCATAAAAATTACCTTATATATGATTTCACATGAGGACAGAGTGAGGATATATACCAAAAAGTAACCACAAGAGGAATTGTTACATCATTTCAAAAATGTTGGGAATTTTATTGCCTTCCATGAAAAGTAGAAAATGAGCAATTCAGATGAATGTATTGTAAATTGTGATAGAAGTAATTCCAAGGGTGAAGTTTATTATTAGTAGGTAATTCCAAGGGTGAAGTTTATGGGCCTAATTAGTTACCTGTCCTTCTTTATATGTAGATGTTTCAGGTTTTGAGAATAAATCGGTTGAACGAACTAAAATTTAGGGAAGACGTATTTGGTATACCCAGTAATATGCCCATCAAGGATTATATAGCTCAAAATGTCCTTAAATGGTAGGTAGTTATTAAAATTTTTAAAAAAACTTTTAATTCTACTGAAATATTAAAGAGTTTACAATAAGGGTATATCATTAAAACATATTACTTTTACGGTACTGAATTAGGGCCGAATACATTTCAAAAAAAAAAGTAGAATATTCTTTTATATTAAATGATCTTATTGTACCAACAATCAATTTATATTAATACCGGAGATTAAAAATAACAGAATAAATAGTTCTTTTTTATATTTCAAAAATAAACTATAGAATACAACAGTATTTAAAAAATAAATAAAAGTTATGTCCCTGGCCGAGATTTCACTCCGGTCTCTCGCTTCTAGCCGACTTTATACTACTATCAGTAGTAAATAAATAATAAATAACAGTAACTTAAGCTCCGTAACAGTAACTTGCTTAGCGATAATTCAATGACGGTATATAAACAAAAAAACAGGTTTATAACAATATCTTGACGATTTGAACTGGCGCGCGGAGCGTGCTGACCAATAGCGCCTGTTATCACCTGTGACGTAGCGACCAACCTGCGCAATATCATACCTTGTATTCTTTGTACCATGGCCGAAATCTGTTACATCAAAACTAGTCTTCGGGGTGTGTTTTAGACATTTTTCTAAACATAAAAACACTAAAAAGTATCTGCGGAAATTTTTTATTTTTATTTTACATAAAAAAAATGCTTTGACTTTAGAATAGCCGAAATAAGTTACATGAAAAATGAACTTATATTTGTTTTATACGAGCCTTTACGAGCAAAGAAATACAAAAAAATTCCTGCGGAAATGTATCATGTCATTTTGTGCACTTTGTTTTTCATGCATTTTTCAGTTTAGAAGCTTACGGGACCCGGGAGCGATAGGGGTGCTGGGTGGGGTAAAACATTTTTCGGAGGAATAACAATTCTTGTAGAATAGATAATATAGGTTCTTGTAAACCTATAAGTACCTCATAATGTTGCACTTATTCTTGTTTTTTATTAAATCTTTACGTAAATAGGGCTGATTCAAAACAAAAAATCATTGGATCATGCAGTTTTCTTTTATATTTTAATAATTAACTGCGATTTTGCAAAAATATTAGATTGGTTAGCATTTGGGTTGCTTTGGTTAGCTTTTCTTTATGGAGGGTGTTAAGCTGCGGTTTATATATTTTAATAATTAACTGTGATTTTGTAAAAATATTATTAGATTTATTATTAGATTGGTTAGCATTTTAGACACTTTTAAATAATTTTTTTTTGGTTCAAAAGTGCTTCATCCAAAGATTTTTTTCTTTTAAACTGTTCTATAAGCATATCACTTTCTGGCAAAAAATTTTTTTGCTAAATTCGTGGGTATAGTCTGTGAAACGAATAACTTTGAATTTGACAGTTCCCGCGGGCTTTTCTAGTGTAAATTTTATTAGGTTAGCAACTTGCGGCCATGCTGATGCAATGCCATCTCTAATAGAATTATCACGTCGAGTTTTATGACGTCACGCTAGTTAGATACTACGGATTAATTATTCTACAACATAATACATGGAAAACATAATTATTCCTCGTATATGTAATTTTTTGGATTATATTCGACACTATTTTATTCATATGACACAACACTGATAAAGGCGATAAACGTTAGCTATAACGTTTTTTTAACCAAAAAAAAATAATGAAAAACCAAATGAAAATTTAATCAGCGTTTTTCCCGAACCTAAATCCCAAGAGAATCAAAAATTTTAGAATAATTTTACATATAAAATGACAGCGATATTTATTTCATAGCCATGGCTGACGCCTTTTTTCCTATGATATTGTATTATTTGCAAATATAATTTTTCGAACATTGATGCTTGCAAAATATACATATAAATTTTGTGAATGCAAATAATAATATATTACTATTAGTAGATATTGAATGTTTTTTAATTAGATCGATTTTCAAACCCCAAAATTTAAAATATATTTTACATTTTACCCATTATCTTATGTACCTATTCATTATTTGTATGTTGTAAAACATTTGCTGAATTTGCATGGTTCTTAGTTTATTTGCCAACGTATTTATTACTATAAATAGGTATAATATATTGTATTTAATAACTGTATATTATGTATATTTCATGTAAACTATATCATTTTTAAAATAGAAACCAAAAATACGAGAAATAATTATGTTTTCCATGTATTCTACAACATATTTATTAATCCGTGGTATCTAACTAGCGTGACGTAATAAATCTCGCTCCAAGGCTGTTCTATTAGGGACGGCATTGGTCTGATATTTAGAAATGTCAAAGGCTGATGACATTTTTACTTTACTTTACTTTTGTCAATTATGACATTTTGCGTTGATTTTTGCAAGAAGAGGAAGAACTGTCACTTGTTTAATTATTTTCTTTTTCTATTTCACGAAAGTAAAATGAGTTACCTATCTGATTCGTTCAGGCACTCATTTTAAAGAATATCAGTAACTTTTTGGACAGAGGAATTTTATATTTGCCCTGTTGGTAAAAAATAACGGTCAAAATTCAAAGTTATTCATTTTATAGACTATACTTATACTTTACAAGACCCAATAATATAATAAGGAACAAATGGAAAATGAAAATCAAGCATTTCCGCAGGAAATTTTTTATTTTCCTGAGTTTGTAATCGCTTCTAAAAGGCAAAAATATATTTATTTTTTATGTAACTGATTTCAGCTATTCTAAAGTCTAGATATTAAATTTCCTCAGAAAATGGATACAGTTTATTTCTGCAGGAAAATTTTTATTTTCCTCAATTCGTGAATGCTTCTAAAAGGCAAAAATATATTTATTTTTTATATAACTGATTTCAGCTATTCTAAAGTCTAATAAATTTCCTTAAAAACAGCTTATTTCCGCAGGAAAATTTTTGTGTATATATGTTCAGAAGAATATTTAAAATAAAACGCAAAATGTATTTTCTTTATAGCAGATTTCAGTTAATCTAAAGTGCGAAATTTGGAAATTACGCATTTCCACAGAAAAAATTGTGTTTTCCGTGGTTCACAGTAGCTTTTTAAAGACAATTTTTTTTCTAATAACTGATTTCAGCTAAACGAAAGTTGACCCGCACATAGTGCACACACAATATTTTTTTCTGAAGCAGAGACAAATTTGACTTGCAAATGTGCACTAATTGTGGAACTACCACTGCTGATTGGTTGGAGAGACTTTACCTTTACCACACGATGTCCCGCATCCATAATAATTTTTGTCGATTTCTGTTAGAGTCCATGGATCTGTGTCCCATTTAGATAAATCCGGCTCAGGAACATCCAAATGTAGGTATACAGCAACCTAAATAATCCACAAAAAAATTATACAACAGTTTAAAAAAAGTGTCTAAACTTTTAGTACCGTCTTTTTGCGCAAATCTTTCCCTATAGAAGCCAGAATAACCGAAGGTATCCTAAGCTTATGTCCCTCCAAAGTGTAATGTCCTATGTTGAAGCATTCGTACGTGATTGATAGCTTGTTAAGCCATTCTTCAGTAAATGCGATCATTTTGGCCACGTCACGTCGATACTTATATTGACCGCTGATCGATTTGATTTTGACTATTTCCGTCAAATCCTCGAAAAACATAGTTCTATTTGAATCGATATATTGTAAAACTTTATGCAGTTCCGGTGGGATGTAGATTTTCTTACTTTTTTTCGCTTCATAATACTCGCCATATACAGCATTTGTGGTCTTTGTTTCGCTGTGTTCTGTACGGTACGTGTGAGGATAAACCATTTTTATTTGTAAAGTTTGTGTATAAAAGGGAAATTAACCAAATAATCCACGTAGAAGCAGGAGAATACGTAAAAAAATGACACAATTATCAGTTCGATTGACATACCTTTCAAATTTTATTAAAACAACTGAAATACGGATCTGTCCAATGTTAAAATTTTACAGCCAACCCTGTGTTTACAAAAATCTTCCAAAATTAAACATGTGGCTCCATCTATCGAGTGATAGCTACAGCCAACAACACATTAATTTTAAGAAATTCTATTTAAATAACAATAGTGTAAAAATATTGCATTTTCTTGAAGCAATTTATGAAAAACGATGATTATATGACTATACATTTTACCATATTCTGTGCCATATTATATTTTTTAATAAAAAATACATAAAAATTAAACAGAAATCTGTAAATGCATAACATTTCCTCATTGTCAAAAATGACACATATCAGATGTTTCATGATTTGATGTTTAATAAAATCAAAACAAAAAATGAGTGTCAGGAATCATCAAATTTCTTACCACAAATAGAATAAACGAAAATAACTAATTTATAACTAAATAAAATGAGTTCTCGTAAAAAGATTTAGAATCGCAGTGGTATAATTATCATTTAGGAATAAGAATGGCACAGCTTTTCACACAGGAATTATTTGAATTGAAGCCTCTAATCAAATCAATAGAAATAAAAGTGTGCGCTCAGAGTAGAAACGGTGTTAAACAAATTCTAGCCCTTATTACCAAGTAAGTTTAGTTTTATAGGTTTAGCTGGAATGTATTTATGTATAAAATGATATAAAAATTTTAGAGAAAATGAAATAATCTTGTATTATTGTTACGGAGAGTTACCCCCTGTTTTAAAAAGGATTCCATGGATTGGTGATAGTAGCAAAAACATTCAGGCAGTATGCTTTGATTCTACAGCTACATGGTTGTTAATAGTTTGTAAGCAACTTATTTTTTTAGTTTTTATAGTTAAAACTGTAAGGTTTGTAATTGATCTACGATAATGATATTTTTAGGCTTGGACAGTTCAGTTTACATTATTCCAGCACTGCACATAGTGGACAAAAAGCAAAAAATCGATTGCAAATGGTCTCTATCAGATATAACTCATTTCCCAAAAATATCTTTACTACCAAATGCCTTGCCTACATCTTGTGCTTGGTGGCAAACCTTAGAATGCAACCAAAATGCTCTGGTTGGTTTTGATTCAGGCAATATACTGCTAGTCAGTTTAACCGATGGTAGAGTATTAGGGGGCTGTTCCATCCCCGAAGCTGTAACTACATTACAGATTTGCCTAGACAATGTCAAAGAAATTATTTCTCTTTTGGTGAGATTTTATTGTTTGTGTTACCAAGCTTTACGTAGATATGTTTTAGGTTACAGGTATTACAGAGAGACAATGGAGGTTATTGTTGGAACAGCATTCTAATGGATATATGTGGCCTTCAGACACTTCTAATACTCAGATAGAGGAATCGGTTAGATCTAAATTTTATACGCTTAGGCAAATCGGTGTAGATAAACTAGTTTCTTTAAGGTAAACATGAAATAATTTTAATTCTTTTTTGATATGCTTTTTATAGGCAAAGGCTTGGATCTAGGAAAGATAGTCAGAGCGATACGGCAAGCGAATCTTCGTGTTCTGAAGCTTATCAATCTATTTCTGTCACGTCAGATTCAACAGAATTAGGACAATCAGCACCATCAACTTGTAGTCAGTCTTGCAAAGCTAACCATGTTTTATGTTCAAACACAGAATTGGAGCTGATGCCTCAGATGGCTGACACATTTTATATGTCACAATCATGTAAAAATAGGCAATATTTTTCAGCTTTATATAGATCAACAGGGCTTCTAACAGTTAGTGTTTTGGATTTATATATACAGGGTGTAAATATAAGTGCCACAAATTATATCTTATAATTATGGGGTAATTTTTTGTGAAATAATGGATGTTCAGTAAGTCAGGGAAGATTTTAACAGATGTCATCTAAAAAAATCACAGAAAATACTATTATATGTTAATTAAAATGACAGACACAACTGTCACGACCATGGATCCTTTATAGTAAGCAAAAACCAATTTCAAAAAATGTTTTAAATTAAAAACTGTATATCCATATTTACAACCCAACTTTTTTGGCACTTATTTCTTTACATCTCGTATAATTTCAAGGTTATAAAGTAAATTAAATTTTAGGTACATGCCTCTGATATTGATTCAGCTCCTGTGCATGTTTATAGGCTATTGCCAGGCACAAATTCTTTACTATTAACTGATACTTTGATTTATTCATTAAATAGTTCAAATACAATTTCGATTCTGAGCTGTCAAATGTCAGAATGTCGCTTAGAGGGAGAAACTGTAAGTTTAATTTAAGAAATAGTGTTAAATTATTTTGTATTTATTTTTTTTGTAGGAATTTAATGATGATGCTTTGGTGGCACAATTTGATATCGAAAACGAGAATATTTTAGATGTGTTTAAAATAGTTGATATGTCGGTGGATGCGCTGCCACAGAAATGCAATTATACAAAAAGTAAATTTCATCATTTGAAGCAAAAAAGTGATATGAGTTTTCTTCGGCCTGCAATCGATACTTGTTTAATAGTTACAGACAAATCAGTATATAAGATTAATCTTAGGTAAGTATCTAAAATATATTGTGCTTTGAAACTATTTTAAGCCCTTAAACTAAGCCACACTAACTTTTAAGCTACTAAAAAAAATTAAATTGATGATAGTTTTTTTTCCAAAAATTTTCTTTGAGAATATGTTTATAGATTTTTTATTTATATTATTTTTTCTGTCAAAATAAACTTGTAAAAAACGTTTTTTTCTGTAAAATGGTCCTGCTAGTATTTAGTACATTTTTTGTCTCTTGTAAAATAACGCCACCGCGCATACTTTTTAAGAATAAATAAAGATTTTTGCCAAGCTGACATAATTTTTTTTTGTCACATCAATACTATGTAGGCGCGTAAAATCTAGTTGGCGCTATGGCGCTAATAATCTATAGTCTGTCCAACGACAAGATCCTTGACAGTGATACATGTGTCTGTCATTTTATTTTCAAATTAGTTTATTTTATTTTACAAGGAATTAAGTTGGTACAACTGGAAGGATAGCAGAAAATAATATATTTAAAATTTGAGTGACAAGCGACAAGTGATTACTTCAAAATATTGTGAAAAAAACTGTTTAAAATTGAGAAAATCTAATCGAGTTAATTTATTAAAAACAATTACAGTATGTGTTAATACAAAACAAGCAAGGGTTTATTTAAAAAAAAACACATACCAAAATATAAAAGATATAAAAAAGATTTCCGGCTTTCAAGCTCAAGCAACTTCCTGCATTTATTGTTACATTTATCAATATAATTGTTCAATATGATTATTATTTACCTATCGTGTGCTGCTATTTTACAGACACTTCAGTTTTTGGTATCATATACAAGATAGTATACAAACTTTATTTGTGGCTAATCCATCTCTCTAGCCATAATATTACGGTACATCGTGAGACAGGAAATTGTAGAGAGAAACAAGCCCTATAACATAGGATACAACATTTTAATGAACAGTGCTTTCCATAAAATCAATAAAATGAAAAATATACGAAATAATATACATGTTCTGATTTCTTTCGAAAATCGACAACTATGAAACTATGAACCCTTCCTGGACACAAACGGTACATTGCGAGGCAGGAAATTATAGAGAGAAACAAGCCCTATAACATATGATACAACATTTTAATGAACAGTGCTTTTCATAAAATCAATAAAATGAAAAATATACGAAATAAAATAAATGTACCGATTTCTTTCGAAAATCGACAACTATGAAAATATGAACCCTTCCTGGACACAAACGGTACATTGTGAGACAGGAAATTGTAGAGAGAAACAAGCCCTATAACATAGGCTACAACATTTTAATGAACAGTGCTTTTCATAAAATCAATAAAATGAAAAATATACGAAATAAAATAAATGTACCGATTTCTTTCGAAAATCGACAACTATGAAAATATGAACCCTTCCTGGACACAAACGGTACATTGTGAGACAGGAAATTGTAGAGAGAAACAAGCCCTATAACATAGGCTACAACATTTTAATGAACAGTGCTTTCCATAAAATCAATAAAATGAAAAATATACGAAATAATATACATGTTCTGATTTCTTTCAAAAATCGACATCTATGAAACTATGAACCCTTCATTGACAACTTCATTTGACAGTTATCTTTTACCTTGACTGGTGCTCCTAAGTAAATACAGGGCCATAAGAAAGGAGCAATATTTAAAATGACATCGGCGATAACTCGTAAACGAGCTAATCAAAAATATCTAAAGTTATTCTTTTGAATGGGGAAGGGAAGGGAATAGGGAAGCCAATAATTGACCCCATTAAAATTTACATAAGTTTTCCTATGTCCCGTCCGACGATGCAACACCCGGTATAAACTCATTCATAGTAAAGTTAAAAAATATTAGAAAGTTTTTTTAGTAAAATAAATAGATTGGTATGGGACGTCATCTGCTTTTTTTCTGTCATCGTCTGTCGAAATCTTACCTGAGAAAAAAAAACAGAGTATAGTTGGCAAAAATATGGAATTTTATGTTTTAGAATCACAAATGATATGTGACAATAAGCCAAACAATAAGCTTCATATAAATTTTAAATTAATTTTAGTTTGGGTTTAGTTATACAGGGTCCGGCAATAGTGCGTCGGAATAATCATCTGTAACTCCAAGAATAAAAAAGTTTAGAATTTTGTTTAAGTGCAAACTTAAAGTACAAATACAAGAACTGTCCTGAAATCAAAACTGTATTAGGTATTTACGTATTAAAATTAATCTACGCCAAACTTTCTAAAATTTAAAATGTTTCTCCTTTTTTTTTAATGGAACATTTAAAAAAAATAAATATTTTTTGTAAGTATTTCATAATTTTTAATGGTTTCGCAGATTCACGCAGTATTATTTCATGTGGCTCTTTCAACGGTAAAATACGAGAAAAAAATCATTGGGTGGCTTTGATAAAAATTTACTGTGGAAAATGTCATATGAAATATAAAGTCGCGCATATCTGCGAAACCGTTAAAAAAATTTAAATACCCTAAATATAGAACATAATGTTCCACTAATGGATTGGCCCTCACAGTCTCCGGATCTTAACCCCATAGAAAATTTATCGGACCATTTGGATAGCAAAATTCGAAGCCATTCTATTTCAAATAAAAATGAATTATGGGAAGTGCTAAAAACTGAATGGGCGGCCATTTCCAGTAAAGATTGTACGAGATTGATCGATTCGATGCCACGAAGATGTAGGGAAGTAATTAATTCAAAGGGATATTCCACTAAATATTAGTAATTTTTATATTATCTTGAATTTTAATAAACATTCTTCTTAAGTTTCCAAACTTTTGACCAAGAAAATATTCATAATTTTTTGATAGCTGTATTTTTTTATTTAAATGTATTAGGTTTTGTAGGAAATTATTTGTAGGTCACGATTATATAAGTCGTTTTATTTCATATTTTAATTTCTCAGCATACATGACAAATTAAAAAAGTTTGCATACTTTTGGCCACCACTGTACGTGGTGTTCCATTTAAAAAAAACGAAGGAAAATTATTTTATATTTTAGAATGTTTGGCGTAGAATTTTGAACATGCTGTATGATTTTCGATTACTATATTTATAGAAAAGTAAGAACAAACCATCTAAAATAAATACCTAATATAATTTTGATGTCAGTACAGTTCTTGTATTTTTAATATTTCTTTTTAAGAAAGACGGAAAATATATATTTTTTATATGTCTTAAACTATCAAAATATATTTACTCATATCTTAGTATTATGTAAAGTGATCTGAAAGGAACCCAAAAATGCAATAGTATACAGGGTGTTCCGTTTAAAAATATCATCCCGATCTACTCACACTTTTTGGAGCCACCCTATAGAAATTAAAATAATTTTTTTCCTGAAATACATCCTAGAACAAAATGGGGTAAATAATAGTAGGGCCATTTTACGAAAAAAAAATCAGTCGTCGGTGGAGTGAGAAAATATTTTATACTAAAATTTATGTAGGGGGTGGGGGTAGTTTTTACACTTTCCGTACTTTTTCGTAATTTTTGTGAAAATCAAATGTTAAGGCACTTAGCAAAACATGTGCATCCCAAATATCATTCAAATAGGAATAACGGTTCTTAAGATATCTTAAAAAATGTGTTTATTTTTTTAAAGTTGATGCCCTCTAACGGACAAAGGAAGCACTTTTGTATAGAGGTAAATTGTAGTCCATTGAACTTATTTTTATTCCAAAAATGCGTAGTAGTTCTGTGTCCACGGAAAATTGGGACACCCTGTATAGTATGTAGAAAATTTAATTTAAAAATTATCATATTTTAAAAAACCCTCGGTATATTATAATCCCTATTGTGGAATTTTTCCAGTAATTTTTTTGCAAAGAATCCATTGGCAAAAAATACACAGCATTCAGTATTTTAAAAGACTACAACTTTACTGTAAAAAGATATATTTGAATCACCCTGTATATCTACGGAAATATTAATTTTAAAATATGGCGCTTATATGTTTCTCGAATATTTGATAAAAAATCTCTTGAAATTTCTCAGACAAGTCCAATAGTAGGCCTTGAAATTGACAACTACTAACAAAATTATTAAAAAAAAAATGACAATCGTAATGAATTCAATCGTGAACGTTTATAAAATTATCAGCCAGAATGAAATTATTTATCTTTCATTATTTCCAAAACTAGCCGAATTATATAAAATCTAATTCAGTTATTTTTAATATTGTAGAATTCCTCCAGTACAAAAATTTATAGAATATGTAACAGAAGAAAACGATCTTGAAAAAGCCGAAAAACTATCCTACATTTTTAGTCTTAGTTTTCAACGTCTTTTCGAACATTGCGGTGATTTACTTATTTCCAGAGGATCCTACCATTCAGGTAAAAAGTTATTTATTATAAAAATTGATAGGTTTTATTTATATTTAAAATATTTTTAGGTATAATTCTGTACAAACAAGCTAAAGTGCATTTGTTGAAGAGAGTGCTGAAGTTGGCTGTTTCTGCCGATTGTAAAACACTTCTAAAATTTGTACATTTGTGTTTGAGTGCGAGTAGAATTGATATGAACATAACGACGAGGATACATATTGGAAATGTTGCTGTGATGTCTTATGTGGAATTGTTGTTGAGGAGTAACAGTAGTGAACAGATGAGGTTGAATAATACCAAAGATTTTATGTAAGTAATCAGTAATTTATTTATACCGTATGATCGAAAAAAACGGCGTCGACGATGGCTATGAAATACATTTCGAGGCGAGAAACAAATACTCGTGGCGAGACTGTACGCATAGATAAAGGAAATAAATAGATTGGAAAGCCCGTCAAAATATATAATTGTTTTGGGTCGCGACCGTTGTACGCGATCTGGTGCTGCTATAGCGGTTACTAAGAACAACCGCCAAACAATAACAGAAATAATTTTCTCTTGTCAAACTCAGAATCTTTAAAAATTATAATATCTTTCAAAATATAAACCGCCCTCATTGAAAAAATACTAAAAAGTGTTTAAAGCGTCTATTCTCAAAGTAATTATTGCTATCTTGTGAGTTTAATTTAAATTTTACTTACTCAAACCCGTGATAATTGTGAAAAGGTGGCATTAAACACTTAAAAAGCTGTGTTGTGAACTGCAAAAACCATCGTGTATCGTGGCATAACGTCGCACAGTGTGAAATTTACGGGTTGTAGCTGGAAAAAAATATTTCAGCGACTCTTTTAATGAAATATTAGTCTTTTTCGTTTTTATATAAGAAATTTTATCAAGGCAAGGTAGACCATGCACCAAAATAATCGTAGTAGGGCATATACAGGGTCTCTCATAATGTTTGGTACATATATGGGAAACTTTTTTACTATTTATCAGTGATTCATAAAATGTTATTTTTAATAAAAAAATTTGTTGATTAGAGAATAGTTTTGAGGTTAGTAACTACGGAGTTTAATATACGGAGTGTCTAAAATTCTACAAAATGTGGCGTTGCCGAACCAAAATACATAATCTATAAGAAAGGCAAATAAGAAAGTACTATATACAAACAAAATACACTATAAAATGTTTGTGGGTCAAACCGATTTGGAAAAACTATCTAAATCGGAGAAAATCATACAATCAAAGAAAATAAAATAATCAATTGTTGATTTCTCGACGAACCTTACCGCACAAAGAGACTCTATTTGAGGTTTTTCTTTCATTTTTTACTCTTGCTAATACAGATAATCGAAATTCTCCCCTTAACCAATCAGAATTTTTAGATAAGAAGATATGTTTATGCTTATTTGCCTTTTTCCGTTTGATCTCGATTTTCTGACAAAACGTCCTGGCCGAAACTCTTATATTTTCTTTGACAGCTCTTGAAAGATTACTAGAATCAAAGCGTCCAATATAAAATTCACCACAGCGCTTCGACGCTTCTTTGGAGTGTTAGAAGTACAAACCTCATATACATCCTGACGAGTGAAGCGCGAAGCCATCTTAAAAAATATATATGTATAGCTAAAGCGCACCTAAACGCAGCTAATTTTTTTTTGTATGTATGCTATAAAAGTGGCCTTTCAAGAAATGACAAAGTTATCGTGGTATTATGTGGTATTATGTAACAAAACATATTTAAAGTAGCCAAATTACAATTTTTCATAGGTAACTGCAGGTACTTCTTTAACATTTTTCTTTTCAATCAAACTATATAGCAGAAATATTTTTAAAAAATGATAGCTTACTACGTAGGCCTAATATAAAAAATAATATCAATGTAGTTATTCCGTGAAAGTAAACACTTCTCACTAAAACGCATTATATATTTTAGATGATTTTATCCGTTTTCAAGATAAAGTAATGAGCATTTTTTAATAAGCGTCTATTCTCAAAATAAACATATGTTATCTTGTTGTTGAATTTACATTCCTTGAATAAACCCGTGATAATTGTGAAAAGGTGGCATTAAACACTTAAAAATCTGTGTTGTCCACTGCAAAAACCATCGTGTATCGTGGCATAACGTCGGTTTCCAATGTTTCATAGGTATTTCACATGATACAAAGAATACAAGGCATGATATTGCGCAGGTTGGTCACTACGTCACAGGTGATAAACGGCACCACTGGTCGGCAAGCTCCGCGCGCCAATTTCAAATTGTCAAACACCACAATAAATTTGAAAATAATTTTTCAAATGTGAAGCTCGATGATTTGACATAACTTTTGGGGTTATGTCCTAATTCTTCCTTATTTTATGTCTTTTTTTATTAGTGGCAATTGAACAATATGGATATTTTTTGTATGGCGTATGACGTCACAGGTGGTATGTGCAAACTTAACGAAATTGGAGCCGCTGTCGATCATACCTTGTTTTCTTTGTACCATGGGTATTTCATACATGTCTTTATATACAATAAAGTTTCTTGTATGCAACACACTGTATTTTATTTATAAAATTAAAAGAAAATATTAAATTTGAATAAACAATATTTTGCGACATAATTCCGGAAAAAGCCGAACCGATCCGAAATTATCAAAGGCTTCGCGACCGTTGCAGTAACAAAAAAATAGCAAAAAATAGCGCCAAATAGTATTTACATTGTCCTCATGGGTACTTTCCAATCTAAACTTGTTTCATTTATTATATCTATGATAAATATTTTCTCTTGTCAAAGTGCGAATCTTCAAAAATTATAAAATCTTTCAAAATTTAAAACGCCCTCATTGAAATAATACCGAAAAGTTTTTAAAGCGTCCATTTTCAAAGTAATTATGCTTACTCAAACCCGTGATAATTGTGAAAAAGTGGCATTAAAAACTTAAACTTACTAACCTAACCTAACTCTGAGCTGCAAAAACCATCGTGCATCGTAGCATAACGTCGATTTTCAATGTCTCATAGGTATTTCATACATGTCCTTATATAAAATAAAATGTCTTATATGCAACACACTGTATTTTATTTAAAAAATTAAAAGAAAATAATGAAAAAATAACTTAATACTTTATGTTGTCTCCTCTGGCTGCTATAACTGCCTGTAGACGTTGTTATAACTGCCTGGTTCATACTTCATACTGTTAATGAGGCAGCAAATATCATATTGTATTATATTTTACCATTCTTATTCAAGACCTAGCGAATTTTTTCTAAGTAAATCTAACAGCCTTAAATAAAATGTTATAATAAAAAAAATATTTTCTAGGAATTTTCTGTTGCATGAGTCACATTTTGACCCGATACTGGCAGTGAACATGACCTGTCAAGCTGGTCACTGGAATATTGTTAATCTTCTGTCAAAATGTCGAGGTTTGCAGGCAGAAGTTGTGGTAGCCTTTGGAAAAATCCTACATAACGATTTTATAACCAAACCATCAAGTTTGGATTTTTTGTTTGCTCTCTCTGAACCGACTCTAACGCAGAGCTATTTGATCTTGCCTCAGAGTGCTCAGGTAAGATTATTAAATTTTTCAGTCAGTATGTATGTAATCGAAAAAAAAACAGCGGAATGACAGTCGATAATAATATTGGCGAGTGCAATCTCTAGACGTTATTTACTAAAAATTGACATAAAAATTGTCAAAAATTAACACTAATTATAGAAAGATTAACACAGAAATCTATTTCGAAAAAAATATTTTTTCTCGAATTTTAAACTACATTTAAAAATAATTTTACTCTGTATATTACAACCTTCTTAAAGCTAACTGGCAGCAAGCGCTATTAAGAGATAAAGAGGAGTACGTACCAATTAAGTAAATTATTAATAAGAGCTTGACCTTGCCAAAATTATCATTGAGTGCCATTCCCTAGCCGTATTTGACACTGTTTTTTTATTCGATAGTATAGTACTATTACTTTATAAAATATTTTTTACTGGAGTTACTAAGATTTCTTTGTTTTTATCCCTATGTGTATTAGAGTTCTTTTTTTTATAAATAGTTGAAAGAAAGAGTTTTGTTTTTATTATTTACTGAAAAAAATCTACATACCAAATATGTTTAAAACAGAGTTTTAAACGTGTTTTAGACAGTTTTAATCAAATGCTTAAAACAAGTTTATAAAAGAAGTAATTGTGTTTTAAACATGTTTTAAATAAAACCTTTTTTATTAAACAAGATGTTTAAATATAACTGGATATCTGTTTAATATTTTTACATCTTGTATCTGTAATAAATAAAATAACCTTGCTCTAAACAGCACATATACCGTGCTGGCAACTCTTACTTTTGGGTCGGTATTTACATGCGTGGAAGTAAATCGCATAGGGATCTTATTAAGTCGGAGTGAGAGAAATGCGACGGTGTGCTGGTTGCGGCGTTGCCACATTTCTCCCGTACGCCTTTCTCTATCAAATAAAGTAAAATCACGATCGCAAACCGCTTATTTTTAAAAGACTTTTTCTTCGAAAAGATAACTAGATAAAATCATTAGATATGTTTCTGAGCTTCTGAAATGGAATTATAAGGATATCGTTAGAGTGTCTATTTTTTGTAACGAGAAAACATCAGTAATCGCGATAATTTAAAAAGTCAACTTTTTAACATATAACACGCGATAACTCAAGAACCACTTTCGATATTGAATTTTTTTTTTATTTTGATTGTTCGGATCTTTTACAAGATGTTTAAATAAGAAAAATTCGGTAGGCTTGTTTTTTTTTCATTCAAAAATTTAAAAAAAACCCATCCATTTACTTTTAGTGCATAGCATTTTTCAGCAATCATGTAACTTTTTTATTTATAAAGATTTTACGTATTGTTTGCCAAGAAAATATAGCAGAAATATTAAGAAAAGATTTTTGAAAAAACAACAATCTATTGTCTAAAATCACAATCAATAATTGTTTCTAATGGATTTCGAGATATCGATTTTTGAATTCAGTTGAGTTCTAATAGCGTGACCACTGTCCAACACCAACCCAATTCCACGTATTTTCACCAAAAGTGCAAGTGTTTCTAACTTGCACTTAAAAATTTACAAGCTATAAGGAAAATTGCGACTCGTTAATAGATAAACAAATAAAGTATCACGAGACGTAATTAAATCGTGAAGCTGAACGCTTGATGTACACTTTTTCCTAGAATTTTAAGTACTGATTACGCGACTGTCGCGTAATCACGCGAATATGCACAGTTTCTCGGTTTATTTCATACGTTTGGCAACGTTTTTACTCTTCTCTCTTTGTTCAGTACATTATAAACACATTGTACTCTTCTTACATACGGAAATCTCGACCCAAAACTAACCTTTGCCATCCCTTAATATGACTATGTGTATTATGCATTTTTTACAGATTATCTACCATTACATTCGCGATAATGCGGACACATTTCCTACCGATATCCTGAAAAGACTAGTTGTTCAATTGGACCCCAGTCAGCCTTGCGTGGTGCCCTTCATAAGGGCCATCTACCAAAACAACAGGGACAACTCCTTTAGCGATGCGAACGCGGACTCGTTTGACTTCGAAACATCGGACTTGTGCAGTATCATCATGAAAGACTTAGTCGAAACATTCCTCTGTGTTATCACTATTTTGATTGCTAGATTGAACAAAGTTAGGTAAGTTAACAGTGTGAAAGAATAAACAGAATTATCACATTTTCATCGCATACAAAAAAATATGTTAACCAGTATTAGCATTTTTTTGTCCCACTTTTATCATGCTTTACAAAAAATTATAGGGTTTTTAGTCAAGTTTTAAGATGTACTACCAAAAATTGGCGCCGGGAAACACGTATAGCCGCCCGTACTAAAATATGTTAATAAAATTGGTAGGCAGTTCTTTTAGTTTCAGTTATCTCAAAAACTACGACTTTGACTGATTTTGATGTTATTACAAATTTTGTTGCAAATATTATTCCTAATCTTAAATTGAAAACCCCGTTTCGCTAGCTACTGTAATTTTGGAGTTACGATTTTTTTAAAGCATCGTCGATGTAGTACGTAAAATTTTGTCTCTCAGATACGCAACGGATAAATATACCGGGTGCGTCTCAAAAGTGGATCATCCCTATAACTTTTTATTGTTTCAGATAAAACAACGAGATTTGGTATGTTAGTATATGACATAAATTAGGATTGATTGACATATTCAATTGTTTTCGGTCACTTCCGGTTTCACCGGAAACGATTGCAACTTTTGATTTTTAAATCGCACCCTCGGTATTTTTAATTTTATTCGGTAGAAAATGACACTCTGAATAGAATGTCATATCGTTTATTTGAAATTGTAACATGCGGTTAATAACGACAATTTGACTCGAAGTACCAAGTGTGTGGTATCAAATTATTCGTAAAAAAAATATTTTTCGAAATATGCTAATGATCCACCCTCGTTCCATTTGAAAAAATTGAGATATGATCAAAAATACGATTTGGGCATCTGTTAACCGGCCAGGGCAAGACACTAAAAACATTAGACGATCAAATCTATTTTTCCAAGGCTTCTCGCCCGTCGAGTGAACGAGTCGAACTGCTACGCAATTCAGGATCTACGCGGATCGAGGGGCAGGGCGTAGGTAGATCGGAATGTATAGGTATCGACGAGTGCCGGAATTTTGGCTTTTTTATATCGCAATTTGTAAACAACCACCGTTTTTAGAAAGGTATTTTAGATAACAATCGATATTTAGAAATGTTTTGACACCCTGGAAATACTACCACCGAGCACGTCATTGTTGCAACTTCCAACTGCGTTAATACGCCTGGCGGTGACCGCCTTATACTCTTTCAGATATTTAGCAGTAAAATAAAGAAACCTGTTATTTTTAAGCTGTTATTTTAAGCTGTTTTTTATAAATAACTATAACAGTTTCAACTGTTATCTAAAAATAACAGTTTTGCCCATCACTACTTCGTTTAGATAGCGATAGAATGTGTCAGATAGCACATTTTTTTGTTCTCTGATTTCAAAAATAATTTTAAAAATAATAAAATGCTAATATAACACTAAAGTTTTTTATTCCTTGTTAATATAATTTTTCTATTTTCAGTTTTAGTTTAAGTTTGCTTGAGACTTTTGTACCTGAAAGGAGAATAGACGAACCAAATGTCATAAACAGATTGCCGGATCTCAAATTTTTAAGTTGCGGCTATGAACACGCAGCAGTTATCAGAAATAACTGTGTGTATACAATGGGTGTAGCAACGTCAGGCTGTCTAGGTAAGTTTTTATTATAGTTTCACTAAGTTTTTACAATTTTTTTAAAATTTTTTGCAAATGTTTAACAATTTGTATTCCTCTTCAAAATTTAGTTTTAGTTTAAGTTCCTTATTCTGCCCAGTCTGGATAATTTCGCACTACGTCTCAGATAGTTTATTTCGAGTGCATTCAAGGCTCCTTTTTGTTCACCTTTGACGTCCAAACTCGACATCTCTATTAGTAGTGGGAACTATCGAATGAATACTATCGAAGTTTCTTTCCTAGAAACCCGACAACGGCCGGTGACAATGCTATGAAAGGAGCCGGCATCTTTGATTTTTTGCGTCAGATAAAGATAAGGACACATTATTTTTTTATTGAGATGCTAGTATTTACACAGAAAATACATTATAAAGGGCGCTGTTGTTAATATTGGTATTAGTTGATATTAGCAAAGAATATTATTCTTTGGCATTAGTTAGTTAGGGATAGTATGTCTATATATTTTGCATTTTTTTTATTAATATTCTGTTTTTACACTGCAATAATACTTTTTATTTTGGATGTAGGAAAATGATTTTTAATGTTTTTTAGCAAAGACTGGTTTAATAAATAATAATAACAGTAATAATTTATTATACCTATCAAAAACAAAATTTAAAATCATTTAATATAAACATTCTTTTTAAGTAGTAGCAAAATATAAACAACAAATTAGAATGCAAAATTATTTATATTAGATCCTATTTAAAAATAATATTATAGTCTCTAATTTTTTTGGCAACGTTGGTTTATTAAATAATAATAATTACAGAACTAATTTGTTATATTAACAACAAATTTTAAAATCATGAAATATAAACATTTATTAATTTTCTAAGCATGCAGTGTAATGGAAGGAAAATATAAATAAAAAATTAGAAATCAAAATTATTTATATTACTTTATATTAATATTTAAAAATAATATTTATATACTTTTACTGGCATTTACTTAAAAAATAAATGAAATATTTCTTCGCAAAAAACTACATGTAAGAGAAGCATAAACAAAATAAAAACATCGTTAACTTTTTTTTTAAATTGGCACTTGTAAAACTTTCAATTTAATTTTCTCACCCCAAAAATTGAGTTCGATAACCATTTATTTAACCACATTATTTAAATATGATTATTAAGTTCAACTAATTCATATTACTAAAACATCTAAAATACAAATATGTATTTTTAAAATTTATTTAATTAAAGTCCATCTCATCTCTCTTAAAAATTGCTACTTCTCAAAATTTCCCATTAAAAAAATAGACCATGTACCATATAAAATTAAATAATTGAAAGATCGGGCTACGGAAAATCACACAAATTTTCGGAAAAATTTTGACCACCTACACAGGCACACAATCGTCAATTAAAAAAAAATACTATTTTAGTATTTTAAATATTTTAATAAACCATAGTAATAAACGCAAAAGTAGCACAGTATTTACAAGGCGAAGTTATAAAAATTTGGAAGAATTAATAATATACTGACGCACACAAAAATCAAACGAATACTAAATTTTATTTATCAAAAGCATTCGATAATCGTCATATTCTTTAGTATACAAATGAATGAATGATTTTATTCGAATAAAACCATTCGATAGTTGAAATCATTCATTCGTAACCATTCGATAGTCTAATTCATTCGATAGTTCATATCGCTAATCTCTACGTCACTACAGACTCCCTTAGAGCTCATTTTGTCGTCTTGTATTGGATCTTATGTTTCTATCACAAACATAAAAATATAGAACAAAATCTTTATTTTATTACAGGAACTGGACCAATGTTGACAAACACTAGTGGACCTCGTCTCGTCAATACTTTACATGATCTAAAAGTAACACCTCTGTCAGTGAGTTGTGGCCGAAAACACACTTTATGTGCTACAGATTGTGGGGTAAGTTTTCGCTTTTATCTTTAAATTTATTTTTGATAGTGTACTATGGAAAAAGGATTTTAAGGCCATTTTTAAGCTTTTAGTGTTTCTTTTTTCATTAATTTTATGATGGTAATTTTATTATATGTAATTTAATTTAAAATTTTTAAATTTATTTTCTTTGAGAAAACATTTTTTATTTATTTTTTCTTTCATAGGTCTTTGCTTGGGGTTCAAACAGTCATGGACAGCTAGGCCTAGGTCCTCATTTACAAGAAACACCATATCCACAAATGTTAATAAGTATATCACATTTAAAGATAGTTGATATATCCGCAGGTAATTCTGAATTGAATTTATAAATTTCCTTTTTGATTTGTCTTTTTCGACTTTTTCCATTATTTCTTAATTTATAATTCATGTTATACTCCCAAAGTCAATATATTTTTCAATAATGTCTTGTTAATGTAATTATTAGTTTGTTTTAATTATGGTAAATTTTAAACATATTTATAATGGTGGAAATAAGTGTTAACATTTAATTTTAATTAAGCCTTGTGTAGCAAAAAAACTGGTCAAGTGCGAATCAGACTCGCGCACGAAGGGTTCCGTACCATTCATTATCTATACAACATTAAACACTATATTATTATAAACTTTTTTGCGATTTAGCTGAAATTTTGAATTCGCGTATAAGTAATTTAAAAAAAATGAAGAAACACGTTACTAAAAATTGTATTAATCAATAATAAATATGTAAAAATTAAAAAAAAACGATTAAAAAAAGTCGCCTTGACTAGGATTCGAACCTGCCTTACTACAGCTCCAACGTCATAGCAGCGTAAAGTCCTAACGCTTTAACCACGCGGCCACCGAAGACTTGAAAGATTATATGTAAAATTCTTATTTAAAAGATAATGTTTAGTGAAAGTACTTTTTTATTTATAAACATTTATTTAATTCTGTTTTTAGTATTTGTTCTTATAGCGGCAACGTAGATACATTATCTGTAAAAATTTCAACTGTCTAGCTATAACGGTTCATAAGATAGACCTTTGTGACAGACGGACAGACAGACAGCGAAGTCTTAGTAATAGGGTTCCCGTTTTTACCCTTTGGGTACGGAACCCCAAAAATTAGTTTTGCCATTTCTTGTAGGTCAGTATCACAGTATTGCCCTAACTCATACTGGGAAGGTGTACACATGGGGTTGGGGTATACATGGGCAGTTAGGTCATGGTAATTGTGATAACGAATATTACCCAAGGCTAGTTCAATTTGATCATCCTGTACGACAAGTTACGGCTGGTAAGTAATGTTAATTTAATTTGTTGTCATTTGAATTTTAACGCAATTATTAATTTTTGTTTCTCGCCTTGAGACTCACCCTATATATTATGCCATGCAATACAACGTATTTTATTATGAATATTTCTGAAAAGAATTAAAATATTTCTAGCTAAAAAGCATAAGGAAACTTCAATTTTGTCATTTTTGTGCAGCTTTAAATATTAGATAATTAGGTATAAATATCTATTTCAAAAATTTTCCGTATAGATTATGACAGTATTTTTGGAATAGAAATTTTATGACAAGTCTGCTCAACAATAAAAATATGTATACAGTATTGAAACTCTACAGCTTTGGTGTAACAATAAATATCTCTCCAAAAAAGAAAAAAATATATATCACTCTCTATAGATTTGTGAAAATATTTTTATACTCTGCACTACTATTGTCAGCATCTTTTTTAAAAAAGATTTGGAGTGAAATCTGAAGAACTATAATATATAAAGTATAATTAACTATTATTATTAACTATGTATTATTTCAGGACATGCTCATAGTTTGATATTGACATGCGACGGAAAAGTATTTGGATTCGGATCTAACGTGTTCGGACAGCTAGAAAACTGTCACATAGATGCTAAGAAAAGTACTAGGCCTACGTGGGTAGTTATTTTGCCTGATATGTACATTCCAATTGAAAAAATTGCCACCGCATATTTTCATAATGTAAGTAAAAAATTGGCGCCGGGAGGCACGTATAGCCGCCCATACTAAAATATGTTAATATCTCGAAAACTGCGACTTCGACTGATTTTGATGTTATTACAAATTTTGTTGCAAATAGTATTCCTAATCTTAATTTGAACCGCGTTTCGCTAGCTACTGTAATTTTGGAGTTACGATTTTTTAAAATTTTTAACCCCCTCCCATACCCCATTACCAACCCCCCACCCCCACCAAAAACTAATGGCCAGATTCTCGGGTGCCACAGTATTTTTGTGCCAAATTTGGTTAAAATCGGTTTAGCGGTTTTTGAGTTATCGTGTTACAGACGGACAGACAGACAGACACCATGAAAATATTTAGGTCATTTATGACCCAAATAACTCATTTTGAGTGAAATTAAAAAAACTTTTTTTTGCCGATCCTAATAGCCTACCATACCTATTGGTATGGTCGGCTAAAAAGAAGGTTACAGAATAACTGTTCACTTGTGTATAGTCCGTTCAGCGAGAGAATACCGTATGATCGAAAATAAACGGCGTCAAGTTGGCTTCGAAATGGTAATCGATGACGTTCACCGTATAATTTTACATACAAAATGACAGCATCTTCATCTCCAAGCTAACTCTGACGATTTTTTTGCTCTAACTTCCCCCTGCGTGGGGGAAGTTGACCAGAGTGACCTTATAAATCTATTGTGTCCCCCTTTCATGAGTTATAACTCATCATACCGTCTCAGGGCTTTGACAAAAGCCAGTATCGGAGACGGTTTTACAGAGGTTAGTTCTCCATGTCTGATATAAGTTGTATCAGTGACCTGTTAAAAACCCCGTGACAATCCGAAGATTGTTCTTACTAATATCAATGAAAATCTTTGATTTTTCTCGGTCGCAAGTCCTGAGAGATTTCTTGGACTGTCTTAGACTGAAGAATGGTTTCCCATTCCAAGTTACGGATACATACATACTGCCATTACTCGCTAACGAGTATTTGACACGCACCAGAAGATAGTCACACAAGGCTTTTTCTTTCATGAGCTTTTCTGTGACTGAAAAGACCGATACCTGATGTTATCTGCCTACCGCACTCCGGACATTCAAAAATTTCATTGCTTTGTTGCCTCTTTACTTTTTGGTTGTCGCTGTTCACTGAGTTCACAATTCTTCTCCATCGAGTTCTATTGTGAACTGCGTCTTCCCACTCATTCTGCATAAGTTACGGATGGAGTCTTCCAGATTCTTCAGTTAAAGTTGATTTCCACTTGGGAAGCGGAACATTTCTGGTTCAACTGGTAGTTAGAAGCTTACGTAACATTACTACGTTCTCCCAAAGTGTTTAGAGTAGATAGACAATCCCATACTAGTCTAGAATTGACCTCTATGGAATTGAGTGTCTCTAGCGTATTCTCTTTTTTGTAGATGGCTGTTACAGCTGAACAAAAAGTGTTCATGTGGGGCGCCAGCCCTGAAGAAGTGCGATGCTTCCAGCAGAGATCCAACATGCCGAAAGAATCCAAAGCTGGTAATGTTTTGTCCACTGAATGTTGGAAAACGAGCATTCAAATGTACCAATCGCAAACCAGGAGGCCTATCAAACAAATCGCCGTTGGTAAGAAGATAACCATAAATTCTCTACTTTTTATAAATGTTTTGATTACTGTTATAGTTTGTATTTTTTCACATTTACATATGCATGAAGTTAATGTAGGATATGTAAATCTTGCATGAATGCCATAATTTGTATGCTATTTTTTATTTACATTAATCATTTTGTTTTCAATAGTAGGAAACGTCTTTTCACAGGGAGCTTAAATGTTACAGGAAATTTAAGATTAATGGTTATTGTTGACTGATTGTAGCGTAGAATAAAAAAAAATAGCATGACATACCTATATGGAAAGTTTTTAGGTTATACAAGATGTTAAAAATCCCAAACTATCACCACAAGTCAAAAAACTCCGTTTTTTTCTGTGTTACTTAAAAAAATGTATATCTACAATTGACAGTTTGCATGAATTTTTAAATTACTTGAAACATCGTTTGCGTATTCAATATTATTTGAAAGTGATCAGTAAAAATATTGCTTTCAAAATTTCAAAAAATATACTAGATAATTGACTGTTTTAATCGTGCGAACACGCCCACATAGCCACGTGACCGAAAATAGGGCGTTGCGAGCTGTGACGTTCCCTCGCGGACACTCTGCCGCTTAGATGCCGCTAGGAGGCTAATAAGTGAATTTGTGTTAGAGGTTTGTTTTGTGTTAAAGGGTTGTGTTTTGCCTTGAGACTTCTGTGGTAAAGAAGAACAGATTAATTCAAATATTTAGAATTCTTATAACTAAAAGTATAGGCTTGGTGCATTCTCCGCCGGTGCTGCCGCTATCGGAGAATATCGTAAACAACCGGCATATACGAAAAATGTATTATATACTTATTCTAAAAGTGTTAGGAAGTATAATTTGTCAAAATTCTAAAAATAAAAATAAAAAAGTAAATATTTTGATATCTTCAGAAGGTCTACTTGTATTATAATTTATTCTAATATGTACATGCAAGATGAATGCAAGCTAATAAAACTTTTTAGATGAGTTCAAATACGGTAGCTAGACTAGCTATAGTCTATAAAATGAATAACTTTGAATTTTGACCGTTATTTTTTACCAACATGGCAAATATAAAATCCCTCTGTCAAAAAAGTTACTGATATTCTTCAAATTGAGTTAGAGATAGGTAACTCTTTTTACTTTCGTGAAATAGAAAAGGAAAATAATAAACTAAGTGACAGTTCTCACTCTTCTTGCAAAAATCAACACGAAATGTCATAATTGTCAAAAGTAAAATGTCATCAGCTTTTGACATTTCTAAATATCGGACCAATGCCGTCTCTACTAGAACAGCCTTGGAGCGAGATTTATGACGTCACGCTAGTTAGATACTACGGATTAATAAATATGTTGTAGAATACATGGAAAACATAATTATTCCTCGTATTTTTGGTTATACTTAGGGTTATACAACAACTTTTTTTTAACCAAAAAAAAAAATAATGAAAAACCAAATGAAAACTTAATCAGCGTTTTTCCCGAACCTAAATCCCAAGAAAATCAAAAATTTTAGAATAAATTTACATATAATATGACAGCGATCTTTATTTCATAGCCATCGCTGACATCTTTTTTCTATGATATTGGATTATTTGCAAATATAATTTTTCGAACATTGATACTTCCAAATTTACATATAAATTTTGTGAATGCAAATAATAATACATCACTATTAGTTGATATTGAATGTTTTTTTGTTAAATTAGATCGATTTTCAAACCCCAAAATTTAAAATATATTTTAGATTTTACCCATTACCTGTTTATTATTTGTATATTGTAAAATATTTGCTGCATTTGTATGGTTCATAGTTTATTTGCCAAAGTATTTATTACTATAAATAGGTATATATATTGTATTTATTAACTGTATATTATGTATATTTCATGTAAACTATATAATTTTTAAAATACAAACCAAAAATACGAGGAATATTATGTTTTGCATGTATTCTACAACATATTTATTAATCCGTAGTATCTAACTACGTGACGTCATAAATCTCGCTACGATGCTGTTCTATTAGAGACGGCATTGCGTCAGCATGGTCGCAAGTTGCTAACCTAATAAAATTAACACTAGAAAAGCCCGCGGAAACTGTCAAATTCAAAGTTATTCGGTTCTCAGACTATAGCATAGTTTTACGCACCAATTTTGTTAGCGGAGACATAACTGGGCCTATTTCGGTTATAAAGATTTTTTTAAAGGTACATAATTATAATTTTAGAAGATGTTCATAAAAAATGCATGAATCCATTTTTGCTTTTGATCAAATCGGTGTGAGAAGTTGTGACGCTATAAAATGTTGTTTCGGAAGAGTTGAATACCCAGGAAAGTTGAGTTATTGAATGTTATTGCACCCAATAACGCCCTAATTACGCCCTCCTTTAAGCGTTAACATTTTTTCGGCAATTTTATTCACATTTGAAATTGTCACAACACAACACGACGCCTAGTTCGAATTCTTTTTCACTTATTTTTTACTACCCGAAACAGCGTTACATCACACAAACCTCGTACCTGAGTGTTTTATAGTCTCAATAACTGCACTAGCAAAAAACTAAAATACTTAAATATTATGACAAAACCACGATTTCAATATAATTTTAATGCAATCAACACGACGCCGACGTGAAATGCATACGATAATTTCTGATTTGTGCCAAGCCCATTCGACATAAAGTCACATATATGACACAAAATTCAATCAATGAGATACACAACACAAAACATACCTTATTGTTATTTGTTATTTGTTGATGTTCAATGTGCTTTTAAAAATATATGTATTGTAGGACAACTAAATATAAGTATTTGTGTATAATAGCAAGATATATTGTGTAGAATTATTAGATTTAATATGTGATTATTTTCTGAAGGAATGATTATTACTAACTGACTTAACACACATACATATACATTGTAATTTATTACTGATGGTATATTTTCTGACAACAAATTGTTAAAAAATGTTTAATGACGACGAAAATAAATGACGACTGCATCTTTCTCCAAATATTAAATTACAAAATTGACATTAAACAAAGCAGAGTTTCAATATACACAGTTTGTTGTTTGAAATATACTTAGATGAAAGCATCTTTTTCTTTTGCGATCCAGGCTATCGACACTGCGCCATTTTAGACCAAGGCAGAATTTTCTGGGGAAAAAACAAAGACGACGAATTGAGTCAGCCTAACCTAAAAGACCCTTACGAAGGCATCATGGGCCACAGATTTATACACGTGTCTTGCGGCTTGGACTATACCATGGCCATAGATCATACCGGCCAAGTCCTAGCATGGGGTACTCCGGCAATGATAGAGGTTAGATATTTTATAATTTAGAATGTTGCTTAATTTTATATTATTATATGTCTCTAACAGACTATTCTGGGTGTATCCATGAACTTCGCAAGAAAAAAACAAGAGGATCAGATTATTCTCACTAAAGGCACAAAGAGGGCATTTAGGACTAATTACAATCATCCTATTTCTAATAATTTACCTGTTGAAATATCGGTTTTACCTGGTATAGCTCTTACTTTCAACCAAGTGAGTCAGAAGATACTTCTAGCCAACAAGCAAAAGCCTTATTTTTTAATGTCGACCGACAACATTGACATGAAGGCGATATTGAAGGTGAAAAAACGTTATAAACTTGACTTTATCAGCGATATCCGCAGTGTTCCTAAGATAAATATCACTCAGAAGACTTTGCACCACGCTATTCAAGGCTTTTTCGAATTCTACGACGTAGAAAACGTAATCAAACGCAGCACGGACTTGGACGATTACCAAACAGCCAGCAAAGCTTCATTTTTACACGGACACTTTGTGGACAGTTTAGGTTTTAGTATAGAAGCCTTTAAAAGACACATTTCCAAGTTAGACATTGATTTGCCTTCGTTGTTTACCTGTAAAGACTCTTACGATCTCAAAGAAAAAGATCAAGGTGTAGAAATTATAGTTAAATGCCTTAAACCTGAACCCGAGAAGGAAAAGAACAGTAACTCGAGTTCACCAGCTAGAATAATGAGTTCCAGCTCCTCCCTGGATAGTTTGAGACAGTTTGGTGAGGAGGGGGGTGTAGAAAGTCCTTGTGAGAGCGACATCCACCAAAATATTGCGAATTACGTTCAATCTGTGAAGAAATCAGAGTCTAAAGATCAGATTCCGAGACTGGCTGAAAGTTACAAGGATCTTTTAGCTGAAAAAGCTGTTAGAAGACAGCAGATGGAGATTAAGAACAAGAAAGCCAAGGAGGTGCTAGATATAGCGTCACATATTGTCGAGTTTTATATTAAGAAGGTATATTGTTCGGAGAATCACATCCTTATGCAGAACATCTTGCTGAAATGTATTGAATTTTGGCTTTCGCACAACCTTCCTGTTTTGGTGTTGGAGGATATTTTACTGAAGAACCTGGATAAGTATTTCTACCCTCTGTCTATTTTGTTGTTTTGTAAAAATTTCGATGAGGAAGATCTGGAATTGAAGAAGAATCAGGATATACCGAGGCAGGTGAATTCTTCGGCGTTTTTGAAGGAATTTTCGACGAAATTTTGTCTGCATCTGTGCTCTATGGTTCTGGAAAATGCGAATAAGGCTTAAGAATAAATATAGTAATAATTTTGTTAAAGGTATTTGTAAGATTACGTATGAAAGTTCTATTCGTTTGGATAGGGCTGGGAATTCAGATTAAATATAGACATATAGATGTCAAGAATTTTTATTTTGTCTCGATAATTTTGGTTGTGCATATAATTTTGACTAAATAATAAAGTTTAATGGTTGTTTTCTACCCTTTATAGCTTTTACATTGACTGCCAGAAAGTTTCTAACAAGTGAGATAAAAAGTATTGAGTTTTTCAAAAAAATATGGAGTTTAGCATGATGTAATAACGTTTGTAAATCGATAACAGTCAAGTCTATTAGAACAGCATATTGAAAAATTATAATTTAGTTCATATGTGTCAAAATTATCATAGAACATGCTAATGGTTTCGCATTTCTTTTACTTAAAAGAAATCTTTTTGGAGGTCTTTGTAAAATTCGTAAAGATAGTTTTTTAGTAAAATATTTTTAGTAGGGTATTTGTTAATTTGTGTGCCATACGACTGATGTAAATTTTATTTAAAACGTTGAAAAGTATTTTTACAATTGTAACTTAGTAAACATTGTTATTTGAAAGATATGTTATATTTAAATTTAGAGCTAAATTATTAGAAACAGTATATTTTTGTCGTATACCCGTCCAACGAGAGGATGCAGATGTGTCTGTCATTTTATTTTACAGGTAAATTGTATTTTCTGTCATTTTTTGGATGTCGTGTATCGAAGTCTTGCATGACTCGTTGGCCAGACTATATTTATAGTTTAATAATATTTAATTTACTTATACCATTTATTTTTTTTTATTTATATACAGGGTGTCCCAGGCTGAGCGTGCATTAGAAGTTTCTAGATCGGAGATTTTTGAACATCATTGTTTTACATTGATTAAAAATATTTTCAACATGGCGGCACTTCCGGTAGTTGACAGCAACTTTCTTATTTTAAAGGGGTACCCCCATTTTTTATAATATACTTAAATTCTCTGTAAAATTTTATGAATTTTGATATTAAACACTCTATATCTAACATTAACCGTTTTTGGAGAAAATATTTAAAATTTTTAGACGAAAAAAACTGCCTGTCAAAAAAATGTGTATAGGCTAAACGTCAAATTTGGTGATTAACACAGTCACTGTGACATAAAGAGAAGACATGTGGCTATCTATTTCAAAATTTAAATTGTTCGAATGTCATATAATATTGGCCGTAGCTGTGATGGAATTGAGCGATTAAAAAATTATATTTTTTTTTTTCAAAAGAAAAAAAATAGAAGTTTTAAACGGTTAAAGTTAGGTATAGAGTGTTTAATATCAAAATTCATAAAATTTTACAGTGAATTTAAGTATGTAGTAAAAAATGGGGGTCCCCACTTAAAATAAGAAAGTTGCTGTCAACTTCCGGTATTTCCGGAAGTGCCGCCATATTGAAAATATTTTTAATTGATAGATCTCGTTGTGAAACAATAATGTGCAAAAAATCTCCGATCTAGATATTGTAGTTCTCTAGAAACGTCTAATACGCTCAGCCTGGAACACCCTGTATAGATTTATTTAATTTAAATTCGATATTGATGAATTATGTACTTACACACTAGAACTTTAGAAGGGCTTAAATATCTTATGATCGAAAAAAAGGCGTCAAGTTACCTTAGAAATAATGATCAATTACTATTATATAGTATTTAGTTTTTAGACGATTATTAGTATTTATTGCTTTACTGGTAGGTAATAAGTAAATGTTTTTTTTTTATTATTAATTTAATACACATTGATTGAAATGGTACCTGTTTAAACTTAAGTAATTTAAGTAAGAGTTCCTTCCTTTGAGGATTAACTAAAATCAATTCAGAATTTATGAAAATATATAAAATAGCCCAATTATTTTTAAATCACACTCTGTTACGACATATTACAATGTAAAAATACTTAAGTCTGACAATGATAGGCACTTGTTGGTTGTTTGGTCATATGGCACTTTTGTTGTTATTTTTACATTTATTTCTTGTCATATGTTATTGATTTTTCTTTTATTATTTTATAGAGATTCGTAGATAACTTAAAATAGCGTTCAGAACTAGATAGTTTCTCCATTGAACTAGTCATTCAAATAGACTTATATTAGAATATACATACATAATAGTCAGTTTTTTAAACCTTGTAGTATTAGAACACGCACAAATTTTAGTGGAAAAATATACTAAAATGTAAACACTCAGAGGAGAGTTCTTAATTTTTTACTTTTTTATTATTTTCTCGAATTTTATTTAATAGATTATTTTAAATAACTTTAAGTCCTTTTTTACGTCATTTGTTAGCACATCAACTCTTTGTATTGCATAAATTAAAGACTACCACATACCTATATTGTGCATGATGTTATTTTAGTAATTCAGAGTTTTAAAGAGTTTCAAAAAATATATTTTATATTTTGTTAAAATCTAAGTATGTATTACTTTGAACGGAATTATTATAACTAGTGGTAAATTTACAATTTAAATTTTAGTTATTAATATAATTATTACTGCTTATTACAGTGGGGATTGGAACCTTCGGTGTTAGAACAGCAAATAAAACACTAATTCCCCACAATACACCAAAACACTTTACTTTTGCACTGGACGCGCGTTTCGCTAACCATGTTAGCATCATCAGCAGAATCTGCACAACAGGTTATAAAGCAAAATTATATTAGCATCATCAGCAGATGATTTAAACTATCAATTTTATTCATCATGGTAATCAGTTATAATCAAACATGGTTAGTGAAACGCGCGTCCAGTGCAAAAGTAAAATATTTTGGTTTATAGTTAGTAGTCAATTAGTGTTTTATTTTGTAATTATTATTGTGTCTAATACTGTAATAATAAAATTAGAATTACTAAAAAAACAATTATGCATTTAACTTAATACTCTGTGACAACAATATTTTTATAAGATGTATGTGCTTCACTTAGCTTACAAAATAAACATTTGACATTGCATAAATTGTTTTATTTTATTTGTGGTGTTTTCTGGATTAGCGATGGGAACTATCGAATGAATTAGACTATCGAATGGTTAATGAATGAATGATTTCAACTATCGAATGGTTTTATTCGAATAAAATCATTCATTCATTTGTATACTAAAGCATATGTGACAACCTCGAGGTGCGACTAAATGGTTATGGTTGAGCCACGACTATCGAATGCTTTTGACAAATGAAATTTAGTATTCGTTTGATTTTTGTATGCGTCAGTGCATTATTAGTTCTTCCAAATTTTTATAACTTCGCCGTATAAATACTGTGCTATTTTTGCGTTTATTAAAATAGTAGTTATTTTTAATTTTATTTATTGACGATTGTGTGCATGTGCAGGTGGTCAAAATTTTTCCGAAAATTTGTGTGGTTTTCCGTAGTCCGATCTTTCAATTATTTAATTTTATATGGTATATGGTCTATTTTTAATGGGAAATTTTGAGAAGTAGCAATTTTTAAGAGAGATGAGATGAACTTACAATTAATTTTAAAAATACATATTTGTATTTTAGATGTTTTAATAATATGAATTAGTTGAACTTAATAATCATATTTAAGTAATGTGGTTAAGTAAATGGTTATCGAACTCAAACTATGGGGTGAGAAAATTAAAATAAAAGTTTTACACGTGCCAATTTAAAAAAAAAAGTTAACGATGTTTGTATTTTGTTTATGCTAATTTTCTTACATGTAGTTTTTTGCGAAGAAATATTTCATTTATTTTTTAAAGTAAATGCCAGTAAAAGTAAATATAATTTTTAAATAGTAATATAAAGCACCTAATATAAATAATTTTGATTTGTAATTTTTTATTTATATTTTCCTTCCATTACACTGCATGCTTAGAAAATTAATAAATGTTTATATTTCATGATTTTAAAATTTGTTGTTAATATAACAAATTAGTTCTGTAATTATTATTATTTAATAAACCAACGTTGCCACACACAAAAAATTTAGAGACTATATTATTTCTAAATAGGATCTAATATAAATAATTTTGACATCTAATTTGTTGTTTATATTTTGCTACTACTTAAAAAAATATTTATATTAAATCATTTTAAATTTTGTTGTTAATAGGTATAACAAATTATTATTGTTATTATTATTTTTAAACCAGTCTTTGCGTAAAAACATTAAAAATAATTTTCCTACATCCAAAATAACAAGTATTATTGCAGTGTAACAACAGAATATTAATAAAAAAAATGCAGAATATATAGACATACTAACCCTAACTAACTAAAGCCAATCAATAATATTCTTTGCTAATATCAACTAATACCAAAATATGGCAACAGCGCCCTTCATAATGTATTTTCTGTATAAATACTAGCACCTCAATAAAAAAAATAATGTGTCCTTATCTATATCTGACTCCGCAAAAAATCAAAGATGCCGGCTTCTTTCATAGCATGCCACCGACCGCTGTCGGGTTTCTCGGAAAGAAACCTACAACTAAAATTCAGTTAATATTTTATTATAATCGATCCAGTGCAAAAGTAAAATATTTTGGTTTATAGTTAGTAGTCAATTAGTGTTTTATTTTGTAATTATTATTGTGTCTAATACTGTAATAATAAAATTAGAATTACTAAAAAAACAATTATGCATTTAACTTAATACTCTGTGACAACAATATTTTTATAAGATGTATGTGCTTCACTTAGCTTACAAAATAAACATTTGACATTGCATAAATTGTTTTATTTTATTTGTGGTGTTTTCTGGATCTGGATACAAGAAAATGATCCCTTTATATCATAATATTAAAAATTTACATAAAAATTGTCAGAAGCCAGTGTTCCAGGTAAGTGTAGGTTAGAAGTTAACGGATTTAAAAAAATAGGTTACGCCTAGGCATAAAAGTAAAGCATTTTTACGCTTAAGCACAAAAGTGCGAAAATTTATTATTAAACTGGCACAAAGTGTCAAATTCAACGAGTGTAACCATAGTTTTTAAATCGAAAGAAAAAACGGCGTCCAATTGGCCTGGAAATGAACATCGATGACATTCCCCATATAATTTTACATATAAAATGGCAGCGATCTTCATTTCATAGCCATTGCTGACGCCGTTTTTTTTTTCGATCATATTGTACCTTATGATCGAAAAAAAAACGGCGTCCAGTTGGCTGGCGTCGATGACATTTCCCATATAAATTTACATTTAAAATGACAGCGAACTTCATTTCATAGCCTTCGCTGACGCCGTTTTTTTTTCGATCATATTGTATTACTTTTAAATCTTTTTATATTATTTGCAACGTTTGAAATTTTTCAAAAAATTATTTGTGACATTTGAAAAAAAATAGAATGTTCTATTCGGAGTAAATATGTACCATATGATCGAAAGAAAAACGGCGTCCAGTTGGCTTAGAAATGACAATCCCCTTCACTTTATTATCTTTGTTCCCCATATAACTGTTTTGGTGAAACTCTGACGCCTTTTTTTCGATTGTATATTACCTATATATGAGGAATAATATTTTCTATTGCATCAATATATTTGTAATTTTTACTACTATTATTTCAAATGCTTTATTTATCATGTAATATAGTTATAAAATACATAGAAAACTAGAAATTTTTGTTTTAATTTCAATTAAATATAATTTTGAAAACAATTTACATTTAGTAAAAAAATAAATGTCATTTACATGCTATAAAATTACAATAGCTAAACCTAAAACTTTAAAATAACATGAAACATGTAAAACAGTCATATAGTGTATATGTATAGCCTATTAAGTATATCTGAACTAAAATAATTAATATTTTTACTTTTAGCCTTCTGGTTTTTCCTCTTCTTCATGCATTCCTCCTTTCATATGGACCTCCAGATTTTCCCAGCTTTCTGAGACTTCATCTTCGAAATCGACATATTCATACTCTGATTCGTTATGATCATCATCATCAAATTTTTCCTGATCAGAAATTGGCTCATTTTGATCTTGATCGACTAGCTTATCTTCCTGGGCTAAAAACTTCTGGATAATCTTCTGCAAGTGGACTCCTTCCAACCTTTTGGACAATGGGAGAATATCATCGTATGAATCTTTCATCTACAAATAATGATACACTTGTCATATTTATGTAAACTCTGCTAAGAACATAACTTTTATTTACCTGAGCACGTGAAAATACTTCTTCGTCTGCGATATCCAAATTTGCTTTGACCAAGCCTGCAGTTTGAAGCAGACCCTCATTGATTGCCTTTTTGTTCTCGCCAAGATTTGGTGAATTGCAGTTAATAGTTTTGTCGGAAAACGGTTGACGAAATACCGTTGTTGAGACATTAGGTTTTCTTAAAGTCTCTGATTCAGAATCTAAAATGTTTCTTACAATTAACTTTTTTTCTAGTACATAGGCCTATCTTTTGTTTGCTTAATCTTGATTCAAAGGAGTTAAAAACACATGATATTACTAAAGTAAACAAGCAACGCAGCCGAAAAAGAATTGGAAGCATTTAAATAAAAATGGACAGAACGAAAATTACTTACTTTCTGAACCAAAGAATCTAAAGCCCGTTGAAAGCAGATTCATGGCTTTATGTAGCTGTATCGTTGTATTTTCTCTGAGCAACGAATGCCTTGGAATGCCTAGAAATATCACAATTTACTTTTTATCTCCTCTCACAATAATAATACAAAAAGCGGTCGAATTTTTGAACGTTTTTGTTTATTTTATATTTGACAAATCTGATTGCACATGCGTACACATGTCAGTCTAGTTTCTTTTTACATTCAGTGTTGTTGATACTTTGTCTCTCTTATAAGCGAAAAATAGAAGAGTATATATCTGAACTACGATCTGAACTGAATATGGAAATTACATTTTGTGATTGATTTTATGGTTGATCTCTGCGGTTTGAAGGGATTATTTGCTACAAATAGTCATAGATACTACGCATGCGCACTTCGTCGATGTTGCCAGATTACAAGTTATTTTGGAATTATTTTCAGTAGAAATCAAATTATGTTTTTTTCAGTGCTTTAATTAAACAGAAATAAAACTCTAGATTGACGCTATATTTAAGAAGTGCTTTATTAAAAATTCGGAAAATTAAAAAAGGTGTGTCCAAGTTTCTTCTTTTTTTTGGAATTTTTAAATGCTGTAGCTCCATATCATGTTCATAATAAGTTTTATAACATTCCATTAAAATTGTAGAATTAGCAACATTAATAGTTACCTTCTGGTTACCTTGTTTAATTCTGCTTATACATACTCTGATACATATTGCACAAGGATATTGCATTCATTTTTCTGCTACCTTAAGATTTTTATATCCTTACACCTAATTTATGTAATTTTGTTAGCATATCTAAAATATAAAAATATGTGATTTATTATATAATTAAGATATCTTAACAGTTATTTTCCACACCACAAGGAATTATATTATGTAGTATTAATACAAAAAATATTTAAAAAAAATATCTTAATATCGATTCAAAACGCTCAAAATTCAACCTTCACCATATTGTCAAGATATTATTTTGGCATTACAGGAAAAAAGAAATTACAGTAAATTATGAAAACAATAATCATAAATATACCAATATCATATATATACCGTATGATCGAAAAAAAACGGCGTCCAGTTTGCTTGGAAATGACGATCGATGACGTTTCCCATATAATTTTGCATATAAAATGACAGCGATCTTCATTTCATAGCTATCGTTGACGCCGTTTTTATTCGATCATACGGTAGTTATATCAATATACCAAGTACAGGATATTAAATAGTGCAATGTATTTCTACGACATAAACCACCATCTCCCTTCTAAAGAGTAAAAGATAAAACATAAAGATATTTTTTCTTAGATTTTTAACACCCTGAGGATCAGACAGGGAGCACTTTAGACCCTATGTTTATATGAGCTTTTTTTTCTTAAAAATACATGAGCAATCATACCCTGTATTTTTTTAGACTATATGTAGAAAACATCCTGTTTACACATAGTGCTCGAAGCTTTCATTGAACAAATTTTGTATTGAAGAGGCAACTACATTATCTTGTTTACTCTTGTGTTGTTTTGGGGGTTGGAAATTGTTAAAAATCTACAAAAACATTTAATTAGTAAGGCACAGAATCTTGTTAAATGTGTTTTTTTTATTGATTTCAAGGCAAAATTAGTGAAATAAAAGTAAATATCTTGTAAAAGTTATATATTCTTGTTTTGGGGCTTGGAAATTGATAAAAAAAAACTACAAATACATATTTGTTAAATGAGGTTTTTTATTGATTTCATAGTAAAATTGGTGAAATAAAAGCAAAAAATCTTAGCCATTACATTGACTAAGAAAATGTCTTGTAGAAGTTATAAATAGGGGTATTACTGCCTTGTTTTATAATTTATAGATGTAATAAGTCTCTATTCCACTAAATATTACATTATTTCGGAAAATATCGAACACCAAAGTTATATTAATTGAATATTCTGAAAGGCTACCGAACCGCCACCATATTTTTTAATTTTATTTTAATTTATATGGGTTTAATAGGCCTGAAACTGCCTAATTAACTATATTTACTGATAATCTATAGTTCCTTAACTATTTTAAAGCATCAAAATCTTTTTTAAGGCAAAAATCTATTTTTTATGATATTAACAATTAGGGACATTGGGGTAATTAAAATGCGATATCTTTGTAAATTTTGCTTTATTCGTTTATTGTTTGGTGTCATTTTATTCGGAAAACACGTAGCTACATTTCTCTGGTAGTAGTTTTGTCTCCAATTTAGCGTTATATTGCTAAATTTTCATTTAAACTTGAAATTTAGGTCGTAAAATTACATAATTTTTCATCGGTAAACAGAAGAAAAACGCTCGAGTTGGCGCTCCCTCTAGCGTCAAAAATCAGAAACCGACCGGGAATACTCAAATATTAGGTCTGTTCTCAGAAGAATCCCTGACTAGTCAGCACTGTTCTCATTGGTTAAAATGCGTAGAAACCTGATTGTTAGTCTGGTTTCTACACATTTCAACCAATAAGAAACGCGCTGACCAGTCAGAGATTCTTCTGAGAACAGGGCCATTATTGGTCGTTTCGGTCGATTTACGTCATTTCTAGACAGACCGTTGACGATGTAGAATCTTTGTCGGTAGCCTCTCCAGAATTTTTAAGGAAAAATGCCTTTTCCTTGTATATTGTGCTGGGAAATCATGTGTAGTGCATAGCTGGACTCTTATTGAGGGTAAGTTTGACAATTTTCCTACGAATTTCCCGATATTTTTCGAAAAATCCGACCATCTAAAAGCGGCCTGGAGAAGCACGCAAGATCAACAAAAAAAAGTCAAAGCCACCTTTATTTTGTTAAACTTTCCGTTTCTTTCTGTTTTCTTTTTTATACTTTCTGTTGCTATAAATAGTTCTTTTTTATGGTTGTGCTGTATTAAAATAAATCATTTTCAGAGTTAAATAGTTTTTGAATGTGTAGTATTTTAGAAATAAAAACCTTTATTATATAAGTGAATAAAATTATAGTTAATCAATTTTCTCAAGAATATTTCTAATAGTAGTGCACATGATATGGTTTGTTTTAGAGATATTATATAATCGAAGAATACTTATGTAATAAATCTATACTAATATATAAAATCCTTAAGTGACTGATATACTGATTAATCACGATCCTGCTCAAACCACTTAAGGTAAGAAGCTCAATTTTGACATACAGGTTGATTCTAGGGTGTAGAGGTTCGATAAGAAGGGATTTTTTGAAATTCCAGTTCCAAGAGAGTGAAACCTCCCCTCAAATGTTACAAAATTTTTTATTTAAAAAACGGTCCGAAGTTCTTTCGGTCCGAGAAGTTTCCGAAAAAACGCTTGAACACGTATATTTTATTTTGTTTTTTTACATATTTTAAGATTTTTTAAAAATGTATACAGAGTGTTTCGAAAAATCTGGTCATTGATTAATCACGATCCTGCTTAAAGCGCTTGACGTAAAAAGCTGATTTTTGGAGAACAGATTGACTTTAGGGTGTAGAGGTTCGGTAAGAAGGGATTTTTCGAAACTCGAATTCTAAGAGGGTGAAACTATCCCTCAAACATTAAAATATTTTTTATTTAAAAACCGGTGAGTTTTTCGGAAAAACTCTTAAACACGTATATTTTATTTTGTTGTTTTACATATTTTAAGATTTTTTATAAATTTATACAGGGTGTTTCATAAAATATGACCATTGAGTAATCACGATTCTGCTTAAACTACTTGACGTTTAAAGCTTATTTTTGGCAAACGGATTTATCGAAAGTCAAATTCCAACGAGATGAAACTACCTCTCAAATATTACCAAGTTATATAATAATATCGCCATATTGTTTTTTTCTCATGCTGACATAAATGTGAGAAAATTTTATTCAGTTTGTATGTTAATAGGAATGCTTGCTTTGCTTTATTATCACCATTACAAATGATTAATTCGACGCGAACGAAGTCGCTGGTACACGCTAGTGTTTTATAAAATAATTTAAATAGAGTTTATACAGGAAGCTGTAAAACACAGAAAAAATACATCTGCCTGTATTTATACTAAATAACATTTAGAAACTTAATACCGTATGATCGAATAAAAACGGCGTCAGCGATGGCTATGAAATGAAGATCGCTGTCATTTTATATGTAAAAATGCCATCGATCGTCATTTCCAAGCTAACTGGACGCCGTTTTTATTCGATCAAACGGTATAAGGTAATAATATAATTAGTAGTTAATATTGTAGGTATAATTGATTGTTATTGATAGTTTTTTTCTGAAGATAGTAAATTTTATTTGCTAATTCATTAATTTTATTTATTTCTAAATTTTTTTGCTTAGGTTTTTATGTTTCTAGATGTTTTTGTCTTGTACAGGGTCCGGCAATAATGCGTCGGACATCTCTGTAGCTCATAGAATAAAAAAAACTTGCGAATTTCGTTTAAGTCCAAACCTAATGTATATGTACGAGGATGTATTTCAGGAAAATATTTTAATTTCTATAGAGTGGCTCAAAAAAGTGAGAGTGAATAGGGATGCTTTTTTTTAAATGGAACACTCTGTATATTATTGCATTTTTGGCTTCCTTCCAGATCATTTTATACATTCTATATTATAATCCTAAGATATGAGAGTAAATATATTTCGATAATTTCCGAGATAAATAAAAAAAATTATTTTTCAAACCTCTTTAAAAATTCCCAGATACATGCAGTATTATTTCATATGGCTTTTCAACGGAAAAATACGAGAGAAAAATCTTGCGGCTTGTGGCTTTGATAAAAATTTACTGTGGAAAATGACATATTAAATATAAAACCGCGAATATCTGCAAAATCGTTAAAAATTTTGAAATAATCTAATTAAAAAAAATGTTCATTTTTTAATTCTGCATCTATTGAAAAATAATATACAGGGTGTTTCATTAAAAAAAAAAATATTTTATATTTTAGAAAGGTTGGCGTAGAATTTTGAACATCCTGTATGATTTACGATTACCATATGTATAGCAAAGTAAGTACGGAGCATCTAAAGAAAATACTTAATATAGTTTTGATTTCAGGACAGTTCTTGTATTTTTAATATGTTTTTAGGAAAGGCTGAAAAAATATTTATTTTTTGTTTATTTATTAATATCTCTGAAACTCTCATAAACTCTCTTTCATATCTGAGGGTTATGTAAAGTGATCTGAAATGAAGCCAAAAATGCAATAACATATATAGGGTTTTCCATTTAAAAAAAAATCATCCCGATTCACTCACACTTTTTTCAGCCACCCTATAGAAGTTAAAATATTTTCCTGGAATACATCCTAGTACATACATTAGGTC